CAAAGATAAACTTTTTCTTTTTCTTTAATCAAAGATAAACTTAACCTGTTCCTTTCAGTCTATTATATAAAATTTATTTATTAATACGCGCACACAATTGACAATTCTAGCAAGCTAATCCGATGTACAAGGAATTCATCTCAAAATAGGACTATAACAACGGTTTTCAAATATACAAATATACGGCTTACGCATATCCTCAATATACATATGCTTAAAATATATTTCCTCGACTCCTGTCCAGGATATGTCCACGATCTCTATACTTGCCGGGAAAGATGGTAATCTTTTAAGGTTCTTACAACCCGCCATTTCCAATGAAACAAGGCGAGAACATAACTTGATTACTGAAGGCACTTTCTCTATCGCAGTTTCCCCAAGAGACATGAATTGAATCTGCGTTGAAATAAACGGGAACCTCTTCAGCTTCAAGCATCCTCTCAGATTAAGGACACTAAGGGATTCCAAGTTGATGTTGGTTGGAAGAGTCTTCAGTTTTATGCAACAAGACATGTCCAACACTTTGAGCTTATTAAGATTTTGTAAAGCAGAAGAAGGAACTGTGACCAAATTTTCGCAGAACCTAAGATACAACTTCTCCAGATTTTTTGCTCTTGAGAGGTTTGGAATATCTTCAATGTTTGTAGATGCGCTCAAATCCATATACTTGAGACTTGTCAGTGGCTGGAAACATACACAGCCAGATGAAATAAACAGAGAGAATAATTTAAGAGGATAAGACTATCCCATAAGAAACTTTGATATGATAAACATACCTGAATACCTTCCCAAAGTGTCTCAAGCTTGCTATCTCGCATAGTAAGTTCGACAAGAAATTCAGGACGAAACTTAGAGGGCATACATTTTATAGGGTACGAATCCCAATGTAGTAATCTAAGTTTACGTGGTAGATAATCTAAGCCGTGAGGTAAGTCAAACTCGGCTGCTTTATCAGGAAAACTATTGTATAGCCTCAAGAATTGGAGATTAGGCATTTTCTCAAAGGCTTTTTCACTTATATACACTTGACCATCGATTTCGGACATATCTAATGATATTCCTAAAACAGTATTTGTACCCTGCATATATACCAAAGGAAAGAACGCAGTTAATTAATATATTAGCGAAAGTGGACATTGTGATGAGTAGGAACATGGAAAGAATGTGTCAACACTTACGGTTTCATCTGCAAGTACATCTGAAATCTCCAAAGCATCAACTATAAACTTACGTTTCCCGGGGTCGTGGAGACATTGTCCTCGAGTAATTTCTTTACCCATTTGTTGTAACAAACAATGCATTACTATATATCCATCAGCACATATATGTATAAGAGATCTGTTAACAAGGACTTTAAGTCCAAATTCTGCATCCAATGCACTCATTGCAAGAAATTGCTTCACACGATCAACCTTTTCGCCATTGAACAAACACGCGATATGAAGAAAGAGAGCCTTATCTTTCTCATCTAACCCATCATAGCATGCTCCTAACAGTTTTTCGATTTTCCCATTTAGACTGGTTCTAAGCCTCGGTAGCGCGTTTATCCACTCATCCTTTTTCATCCCTCGCAAAGATGCACCTAAAATGCTGAGACCTAAAGGAAGATCTCCAGCAAGTTTTGCAACTTCAACAGCTACATCATAGTAGCCTTCTGGGGCCGAGGTTTTTCCAAAAGCAAATCGACATAAGATTTGAAAGGCTTCACCTTTAGATGGAAGACACACTTCATAGACATGATCAATCCCATGAGCTTTCAAAAGCTGTTTATCTTCTGTAATCACAATAACCCTGGTTCCATTACCAAACCATTGAGTTTGATCTGCCAAGGCATGTAGTTGTTCTACATCATCTACATCATCAAGAACAATAAGAGCTTTCTGATTCTTTAGCCTTTCTTGTGCTACACCTAAATGGCTTATATTTATATTCCTCTGGTTGAATATTTCAGAGAGAAATCTTTCTTGTAAATGCAGCTTCAGTCTATAACCATCACGTTTGTTTCTCTTACTGCTTCTCTTAACATTCTCCATGAAAAGATTTAGCTGAAATTCATCACCATCAGAAGAAAGTTGATTGTATAAAGCTCTGGCAATGGTGGTCTTACCGATTCCAATAGGACCCCAAATCCCTATCATCCTCACGTCATTAGACTGTAGACATAACATCGAATTCAACTTTGCGACATGAGCTTCCAATCCAACTAAATCGTCGAAATCCTTTGAAGGAGTGCAGCAATTCAGCTCTTCCGAAATATCCGCAACGATTTTCTCAATCATACTTGCTTCATTGTCCCTAATAGATAGAAAACATTTGTATCTATCAAATGATTATAATGAATCTCAAAATTATACATAAAACAACAAGAATCAACTTCAAACGAAAAGTAAAAATAAAAAACATGATTCATTTGATGACCAAGCGATTTTATTTATTACTGTGATTATTGCACTAACCATTTTTCAGAGCAATAGCCAGAGACATTAGCAACACCTGTTAAAGCTTGCTTCCATCTCTGCCTCTCTTCAACTGTTCTTCCCAAGCAAGTTTTCTCAAAGACCTTCCCAAAAGCTCCTGTCTGTTTTCTAACATCGGATGGATCCACCTCATAGAAAACTGTCAGCAATGTTTGTCCCACAGCTTCCCTGCATTCCATGATCTCTAGCAACTCATCCAAGCACCAGCTTGAACCAGCGTAGTTACTTGAGAGAACGACAATAGAAATCCTTGATTCCCAGATGGCTAGTTTAAGTTCAGCCCATATGGATCGACTTCTCTTGATTCCATGATCTTTGAATGCATTGATTCCCCTAAGTTGTAGCTCCTTTTGAAGATGGCTTAGAAAGTTCTTACGGACATCTTCTCCGCAAAAGCTCGGAAAGACATGGTATCTCCACCAATGAAATGATGAAGAAGAAGGATAACAAACAGAGGAATCAGCCATGAGAGAGATCTCAAAGAGAAGTTTTTATTTTTGTTGACTCTCGCCTATCAAATCGGACAATTATCTCACGAACGATCATGCCATTTTCAACTGGGGAATCTTGTAAAGTCAATGCCGCCGGCCATCCCTATTGAGCCTTTAAAAAATTTCCACATGCCAATTTTTTTGTCTCATCTTGTGACACCCTTTAGAACACCCTTAAGAATTAGAACGTGAAGGCAATCATCAAAGACTCAGTTTTGCTCAATCAATTGGGGTCTAGGGTTTAATAAAAGAGAAATTACATTTCTGGTCGATCCCGTTATTATGTAGATAGATTTTTATTTGTCACAATAATCTTACTTCCAAGACTAAGACGCTGAATTAGATTTCTCAAAACTTGTAGCTCTATTGAACTCACATGATTAAGAATGAGAAGGACTCTCTGGTGCATTATCTTGCGCCAGCTTCCTTGTAGGTACATAGCTTTTGTTTCTTCACTTCTTCTTTTTTAAAAACTGTATCCATTATTTAAATACTTCTGCCTGCATAGAACAAAGTAGAGAGAAGAGTCTCAACTCGAGAGGTAAGTCTTGGAGGACTGCAAAGAAAGATCCACATAGCAGAGTTAGAACATTTCGAAGAAGAGTAGTGATATGGATGAAAAACCTCTTCTGTTTTTGGGTAACCAGGTGATTGAGCCTCCTATACTAACTCTGCATTATCATAGTGTGTGCATCAGTGAAAATCTGTGTGATCTCGGCTAAAAGAAGAAGAATAATTAGAACCACTTGGTGATGGATGCAAATGTTTATCCTCTATCTTTGGACTCCTCAATGCTCTGTTTTTTTCTTCTCCTTCTTTAATGATCTGTTTTATGTCTTGGTCCATGTTAATTATTTTGCTTAGGCAAGCTAAACATTAATATTTCCAAGCTAACTTTGGTAATCTAAGCTCATAAGAACTTCTAAGTTATAAAAGTTAGAAAGACTGCATAGGCAAAAGACCAAGTCTAAAAAGTCATGAATGATGTTATTGGTAGTCAGACTCATCAACAATTTACAAAAAACCATAATTTTAGTAGGAATGACTAAACAATATGTTGGAGAATCAAGAAGAGATTAAACCAATTCATAATTTCCTTCCTGTGATCATATTAATATATTGCATATATACTAAGCAGACAATTGAACCAAACTTAATATATCTTGTCTCACATTGGAATATGGGTGAAGCTGAATGGTTGATTGAGAGGAGCTATTTAAGCTAAAGGTCGGTGAGATTCGAGAAAAAGGAGAGACAAAGAGACCAATCACCTTTTGAAGAAAGAACAAAAGCAATTTGCTTAAAATCTGACATGTCCTTGGTGGCATTGAGTGTCATCCACCCACCTTCAATCTCCTTGTGTATACTAAAGTCTAAAAGCTATTAAAGAACCATAAGAGAGAATCTTCAATTAGTCAAAAGCAACTAGAAAAACAAAAGCCGAAAGTAAGAGAATTACGTAATCTATGACCGGAAAGGGAAACATATGAATGTATTTCAATTAACAAACCGAAAAAGGGAAAGCAAAGTGGGAAACTACAAAAGAAATAGAAAACAAAGTGTGAATTGACAGGAGTTGCTTCTATATCAAGTTAAGTATCCAAAAAAGAAAAATAAATTATGGCTTTAACCCAATATATGGTCGAAAACTATAATCTTTACACTCGATACAAAATTCTAATTTACAAATTCTTAAACACTGATTCGATTGCACAGTTTTGAATGTGCATGCAACAACTTTGACATCTGTCATATTTTTCTCTCATTCTTCAGTGAATACTCAATAAAACTACAGTTTATATTTACTATTTTTACATATAAACACAAAAACACAGGCTCTTTCCTATCAGATACACCTAAAATAATTTAATTTATCCTACTTTTTGATTCTTTCACACTTTTTTCTTACCATTAATAAGCCACTAATCCTGCAAACCAAACCTCTTCTCTCTTTACACGCTCTCTCTCTTTCTCTCTTTTCACAAAGCCATCTTCAGACAAATTCAGCTTAGTTAAATCCTATGCATGCATTGAAACAACAGTTTTTATAAGAAAAACAAAATGGCAACAACTCGGAAATTGGTAGTAGAAGTAGTAGACGCAAAGGATCTTACACCAAAAGACGGCCATGGGACGTCAAGTCCGTACGTTGTTGTCGACTATTACGGCCAAAGACGACGAACACGAACCATAGTCCGTGACTTAAACCCTGTTTGGAACGAGACGCTCGAGTTCAGTCTCGCAAAGCGACCATCACATCAGCTCTTTGCCGATGTTCTTGAGCTTGACATGTACCATGACAAGAACTTTGGTCAAACAAGGAGGAACAATTTTCTCGGTAGGATCCGACTTGGGCCCGATCAGTTTGTTGGTAAAGGAGAAGAGGCTTTGATATATTATCCTTTGGAGAAGAAGAGTTTGTTTAATCTTGTGCAAGGTGAGATTGGTCTTAGGGTTTACTACGCCGATGAAAAGCCTCCTCCTTTGAAACCGGCGGTAGCTCCTCTTGAGACGGTGGTGGAGGAAAAGACGGAGGAGACGACGGCAGACGGTCCAGACAAGTCTCAGCCACCACCAGAGACTAATGATGATCCTGCTGAAGTTAAAGAAACCCCGGAACCACCTCAACCGCCACCGGAGGAGAATTCGCCAGGCGAGGGTCTCAAGCCAAACGAGGAAGCCTCACCACCGTTACAAGAAAATGCTACGGTTGGTGGAGAAGAACCAGCGGCGTCAGAACCAACTCTGCCACCGGAATCAGATAAGAATGAAGCAGAGGTGAAACCGGTGGAAGAGCCACCGCAGAACCAACCAGACGGTGAAGATGTTGTACTTGAGTCAGAAGATTCAATGAGCTGGGCTTCGGCGCCGCGATCACCGGAAGTTATCATTTCAAGATCTGTCTCCGGTTCCATACCAGAAACCAAAAACGGACCACAACCACTACGGAGAAGCGTATCGGAAACAGCCAGCTACACCTCAGAGATCTCCGACGTGTCAACGATCGAACGATCCACGTTTGATTTGGTGGAGAAAATGCATTACGTCTTCGTCCGAGTCGTGAAAGCTCGGTCTTTACCAACCTCCGGGAGTCCAGTCACAAAGATCTCACTCTCCGGCACAATGATACAATCAAAACCCGCAAGAAAAACCTCTTGCTTCGAGTGGGATCAAACCTTCGCCTTCCTCCGTGACTCACCGGATTTATCTTCTTCTCCAATTCTGGAGATCTCCGTGTGGGATTCATCAACGGGAGTCGAAACCAGCCAATTCCTCGGCGGAATTTGCTTCGACGTATCGGAGATTCCGCTCCGAGACCCGCCGGATAGTCCATTAGCACCGCAATGGTACCGTCTCGAAGGAGGTGGAGCTCACAACAGTGATCTAATGCTTGCCACGTGGACAGGAACTCAAGCAGACGAATCATTCCCTGACGCGTGGAAAACAGATACCGCCGGAAACGTAACCGCACGGGCGAAGGTTTACATGTCGTCGAAGCTGTGGTATCTACGCGCCACCGTGATCGAAGCACAAGACTTATTACCGCCACAGTTAACGGCTTTTAAGGAAGCGTCGTTTCAGTTAAAAGCTCAGTTAGGTTTCCAAGTGCAGAAAACCAAATCCGCCGTTACTCGTAACGGAGCGCCGTCATGGAACGAAGATCTACTCTTCGTAGCCGCCGAGCCTTTCTCCGATCAGCTAGTTTTCACATTGGAGTATCGAACATCGAAAGGACCAGTCACCGTCGGAATGGCGCGCGTGCCACTCACCGCAATCGAAAGGCGCGTCGACGATCGCTTGGTTGCTTCAAGATGGTTCGGATTCGAAGATCCAAACGACGAGAAAAGAGGAAACAGATCTAGAGTACATCTGAGACTCTGTTTCGACGGTGGTTATCACGTGATGGACGAGGCGGCGCACGTGTGCAGCGACTACCGACCTACGGCGAGGCAGTTATGGAAACCGGCGGTAGGAGTCGTCGAGCTCGGTATAATCGGTTGCAAGAATCTGTTACCGATGAAGACGGTGAACGGAAAAGGATCAACGGACGCGTACACGGTGGCGAAATACGGTACAAAATGGGTCCGTACCCGAACCGTGTCGGATTCTTTAGATCCGAAATGGAACGAACAGTACACGTGGAAAGTATACGATCCGTGTACGGTTTTGACAATTGGAGTCTTCGATAGCTGGGGAGTATTCGAAATCGACGGTGGAAAAGAAGCCACGCGTCAGGATCTCCGAATCGGGAAAGTTCGTATACGTATATCTACGCTGGAGACTGGTAAAGCGTATAGAAATACGTATCCCCTTCTGATGCTAGTTAACGGCGGCGTTAAAAAACTGGGAGAGATAGAATTGGCCGTTAGATTCGTGAGATCAGCTCCACCGTTGGATTTCTTACACGTGTATACTCAACCGTTATTGCCTTTGATGCATCACATTAAACCATTGAGTTTGTTTCAAGAAGATATGTTGAGGAACACTGCCGTGAGGATCTTGGCCGCCCATTTGTCACGATCTGAGCCGCCTTTAAGGCCGGAGATTGTACGGTACATGCTTGACGCCGATACTCATTCTTTCAGTATGCGTAAAGTCCGAGCGAATTGGCTTCGGATAGTGAATGTAGTTGCGGGAATGGTTGACGTGGTGCGGTGGGTGGATGACACACGTTTCTGGAAGAATCCGACATCTACTTTACTCGTCCACGCTCTTGTCGTGATGCTGATTTGGTTCCCTGATCTCATTGTTCCGACATTAGCGTTTTACTTGTTCGTGATCGGCGCGTGGAATTACAGATTCAGGTCACGTGCTGCTCTTCCTCACTTTGATCCAAGACTCTCGTTGGCTGATGCAGCCGATAGAGAAGAGCTTGACGAGGAGTTTGACGTCGTACCGAGCAACCGGCCGCCGGAGATGGTTCGGTTGAGGTACGATAAGCTACGAAATGTCGGAGCTCGAGTTCAGACGATTCTTGGTGAAGTAGCGGCGCAAGGAGAGAAAATGCAAGCTTTGGTGACGTGGCGTGACCCACGAGCGACGGGTATATTCGTGGGGCTGTGTTTATTTGTGGCGTTGGTGTTGTATCTTGTGCCCACGAAGATGGTGGCGATGGCGTCAGGGTTTTATTACTTCCGGCATCCTATATTCCGTGACCGGAAACCTTCTCCGGTGTTAAACTTCTTCCGGCGACTACCTTCGTTATCTGATCGGCTCATGTGATCTTCGTGTTTTTAGTGGAGGGGATGAATATATTTTGGAGCGTTTAATCTTATTGGGCCTTATTAATGGTTATTATGGGCCGCTAATTGGATTGTTATAGTATCATTTTCCTATTATAGGAGCTTTATTTGACGTTGTCTAAACAAAAACGTGTTTGGTATATGACAAAATTATGAACCTACTTTTTGAGCAGAGTGATAAATGTGCAGAAATAAAACCAAACAGTACTTACGAATAATGTTGTTGGTGACCAAAATAAGCAAGTTATCCACTGCTCAAGCTTTGCCAACTACCAACCAAACTCAAATTTAGTCTCCAATTTGGAAATTTCAAAGTCAAAGCAGCATTATGTAACTTTTAAATTTTTGATGAAAACTGATTTAATGAAATAGGAACACCAATTACAAATTACCAACTTTTATGTAAAAAAAATCCAAATGACAAATCATTGATTCACTAAACAGAATTTTGAATCAACTAAATATTCTAAACAAGCAATGGGTTAAATATGAAGTTAGTTTGTATTGGTACACTTTAAGCTAGAATTTGAGACCATTTTTATTGGTTTGTAATTTATTTTCAAGTTTGGTTTGTCAGATTAAAAAAGTGAAACAAAAAATCTGAAAGGAATTATTGGATATTTTTTCCTCTTTCTTTTGATGTGCAATTTAATTTCAATAATCAATATTCCAGAAAATAAAGTTTATAATAAACTGGTCTTAATAATTCAACAGTTGAATATTCCAAGATTTGGTTAAAGGCGCTAGCTTTAGTCCATAGAGAGAGTAACGATTACATCATAGATATCTCTCCCTCCTTCAATTTTCTCTAGTTTTCTGGTTAAGTAATCAAGCGATGGTTATTGCGGTGGCGGCAACGAGCTCCATTGTTTCCGGCATCAAGCTTTCAGGGATCTCAACTTCGTTCAACGCCGCAGATGATGCCTTTGGTAGTTGCGGAAGAACCAACCTGAGTGGAGTTAGAATTTATTCAGCATTGAGTCGGCGACGATTTTCATCGATCGGAGCTGTGTCCCCAATTCGTGGGGATGCCCAATCTTCCTTTGGTCGCAGGTAAAGCCTCGATTTTTGGGTTTATGTGTCTGCTTGTTAGAGTAAAACACATCCTTTGAAATTGTTTGTGGTCATTTGATTGTGCTCTTGATCCATTGAATTGCTGCAGCTCTTTCGCTTGCTCTCAGAATCTTGGTTTGAGCGGTGGTTTTAGTGCAGCTGAAGCTCTGCCAACTGCTAGTGAAAATGCCAACCCTTCTTCCATCAAATCTTTCAACCAGGTGACTTTTCATTTAGATTTTTTCAGGATAAGTTTGTGATTTGATCTCTTGTTTCTTAGTCTCTTGATTTCTGAACAGTTCAGGGTTTTGATTAATCTAGTAGTTAATGTCTGTATCTGTGTTCTGAGTTGGATTTTGAGTTATTTGCTTCATGCTGACTAAACATGTTTGGTCCTGTGTGTTCTTCAGATTTCATTTGTATTGCTTGATGGGTTTATTTGACTTGAGTAAAAGTGTACTACTTTATAAGTTTTAAAAGAATTTTAGTTTTGGTGAGCTTCCTATGGCTTTGAAGATAGAGATTTAAATCATGGGATTTACTATGTTCTCATACTGCGTTTTCTCTGTTCTTTTGTTTTTTGCTCAGTTGATTGAAACCTTGATTGATCGGGTTGATCTATCTGAATCTGAGGCTGAATCATCTCTTGAGTTTTTGCTGAACGAGGCAAACGAGGCCCTGATTAGTGCCTTTCTAGTTTTGCTGAGAGCTAAAGGAGAGACATATGAAGAAGTAAGTATCAATCAAGTCAATACTATATTACATTATCATATATTACAGCACTTCAATTAGTAAACATTCGGATAGATTGTGGGGTTGGCTAGGGCAATGATGAAGCATGCCAGGAAAGTGGAAGGATTAGTTGATGCTGTGGACATAGTTGGAACAGGCGGTGATGGAGCAAACACAGTCAATATATCAACTGGATCTTCAATACTTGCTGCAGCTTGTGGTGCAAAAGTAGCAAAGGTATGACGAGTGAGAAATCCTTGAAACAAATTATAGATTTGAAATGCGAAAATTTGCATTAACTGTAAATTATCTCATCCTTTTCCTGGTCGTCTAACTATGAATATTTATTTTGCAGCAAGGGAATCGTTCGAGTTCTTCTGCTTGTGGAAGTGCTGATGTCCTAGAGGCACTAGGAGTGGTGCTGGACTTGGGACCAGAGGGCATTAAAAGATGTGTTGAAGAAGGAGGGATCGGTTTTATGATGTCACCAATGTATCATCCAGCTATGAAGATCGTTGGTCCTGTCCGGAAAAAGCTTAAAATAAAAACTGTTTTTAACATATTGGGACCTATGCTTAATCCTGCTAGAGTGTCTTATGCTGTCGTTGGTGTATACCACAAAAATCTGGTACATTTACTCACTGCTGAAATTTGTTTGTTCATAAAAAAAAAAAGAGACATTTACTTACCCTTTGCTTGTGTGGTTTCATAGGTTGTTAAGATGGCAAAGGCGCTGCAACGATTTGGAATGAAAAGAGCACTGGTGGTTCATTCCTATGGTCTAGACGAAATGAGTCCGTTAGGTAAGACTATCTCTTCCCAAAATTGATGACTTTTATTATCCAACGATTATTAACCAATCGTGGCTTAACGAAAAACAGGAGGAGGACTAGTTTATGATGTAACCCCGGAAAAGATTGAAGAATTCTCATTCGACCCATGTAAAGATTTATATTTCCTCTAGCTTTTCTTCCCTTCTCTAAAATAAAGATTGCAGATGCAGCTTGGTGAAATATGGGGAGTTAGTTAATTGAAGCTTGTTTCTTTTTGACAGTGGACTTTGGTATTCCTCGTTGTACTCTTGAGGATTTGCGAGGTGGAGGTCCAGACTACAATGCAGATGTGTTAAGACGTGTGCTTTCAGGGGAAAGTGGAGCAATTGCAGATTCATTGGTATGTTTTGTTTTGCGGATTCAACATTCTCTTTCTCTCTGAAAACTTTCCCATTTTTCGTGAACTTCTGCAATTTGTTCATCTGCTTTTTCAAAATCTTGTTTCAGATCCTAAACGCAGCTGCAGCTCTTCTGGTTAGCAACCGAGTTCAAACGCTAGCTGAAGGAGTAACCTTGGCACGTGAAGTACAATCGTCTGGGAAAGCTATCAAGACGCTTGATTCATGGATAAACATCTCGAACTTAGCTCAGAAATCTCAGTGACCAGAGAGGCTTACGATATTGTATTCAACGGATCACCTTTGCAATTGTAGATGAAGATCAAGGCAATGTGCCAAAGGAAGACGCTGGAAGCATTTGTAACTTTAGTTTTCTTTGTCAAGCAAGAAAGAGAAGAGACCAGAGAGAAGAGACAGATACACATTCTTCATGTAAACATTACAACAATAATCTTTAATAAAATGAATGAATCTGTTTTACTCAAACTGAGATCAGATTCATCAATGGATACACAATCACACCTAAGCATTAAGTAGAAAAAACACAATTATAAAATTAGTCCTAACATTGAGCACAAGTTCTTCACTAATTCTCCAACTACACCTCACATATCATCATCATGGAGTCTATTCTTTGGAGACTTTGACACACATCTCGGTCGGTTTGATGAGCTCAAACGTGCAAACATCTCCGACCACTAAACCTAACTCTTTGGCCAAACGACTCCATCCACCAGAGAATCTTGATTGTACATCATTGACCACATACCATACCTCCCATGACTTCTTTCCTCTTGGATGACGAATCTTGAACATCTTTGTCTCACTTGGCATATGCATATCCACAAACTTCTTCGGGATCCCCTGAATCACAGATTTTCATTAGATTAATACACATTCCACAGTGTGTAACTGGTCTTGTCTTGCTTAATCTTACCAAGAACAAGAGGTGTGATTTCTTTATGGTGAGCTTGAATTCTGGAACAAGAGATGAAGTGCCGGCTTCAGAATCGTTACAAACAGTATCCACTTTCTTCTTCTTACTCTTCTTGGATTTTTCGGCTTTATCGGCTTCCTTCTTTCTCAAGTTGAGCTCATGTTTCTGCTTCAATCTCCCACTTGTAGATTCAGCAGTTTTATGACCAGCATAGCTCGATTCAGACCAAGACTCTATCTCTTCTTCCTTCTTCACATCTTTGTAGATGCTCTTCCTCTCTTCTCTCTTGTTCCGACCTGTTTTCATCAAAATCAACCACAAAAGTAATTAAACACTCTCTTCTTCTTCTTGTTTATAAACATTCAAAAAGCAATCACATAGATGAACACTTACGGGAACTAGAAGTAATGGTTGAAGGTTGTCTTGGTCTAAGCATCTCCGTACCATCTGCCTCGAATATGGTTACATTAAAGCACATATTTGCCTCATGAGTGAAAGTAAGAAACTCGTTTTCACCCAAACCGTTGTCATTCACAAACTGGTTCCAACCACGATCTTCCATGTAGTGAAAAATTGGGTTCTTGGAGATTTTAACTTGCCATGAGCTTCCCCATGGTACTTTTAAGACCATCTTAAACGATGAAGACTTGTCGGAGATGCTTCTTATCAAGTGATGTGGAATCATTCTCTTCAGAGGGACAACAAAATCAAGAAATATCAAAAGAAAGATCATCAAGAAATGGTAAAATGAAGCCACATTCTTCAATTTGAGTGATAAATACAGTCAAAGTTTCAACCTTTTTCACTGGTTAAATCGATGTGGTTCGATCCGATTATTTCACACACAAGAATTCAACAAGAAATCGGAAAAAAGCAGTAAACCTAGTTAAGAGCAAGAACAGACAGATCTAAGTTCATGAGACTACAAGAAACACACTGAAGGACAAAAAGATTCGATCTTTAAACATAAAAAAAAAAGGCTAATAAGAAAATAAGTGATGACGTATGAGAAATTAGGAGACTTACCATCATTTCAGACGAAAAATCTTCCCTTCGAAGAATCTTGAAGAATGCTGGATTATCTCTTTCTTCCATAACCTGGCCAAACACTCTGTTTCTCACCATCTCTGGATCTATTCTATCCTTCGACTTGAAATCCTTCTTTCTTCAAAACCTCTCACTCACTCGCTACTTCTCCTTCTCTCTCTGTGGTTATGGGCAAATAATGGGGAAAAAGAGAGCTCTCTTAAAACTTTTATTTCTAAAAACAGCCAAAGTGTTTTATTTTTTCTGCATTAACTTTGAAATTAATTTTACTTGTGGTTAGTTGAAAAGATTCCCATGAATCATCAAACTTTTGTTTTCGTAATTTGATATCGTAATAATACACAGAAACAGCAATAAGCTCGTGACTTCGTAGACACGTAAAAAGCAGAGCAAATTCCTATTTTTAGTAACTGAATTCTGAATAAAGACAGCGTCATATTTCTTTCTTTACTTTTTTTTTTTTGGTTGCATAACTATTAATTAACGTATACGGTATACTAATATATACCTGATACCCCTATTAACTTTAAACTTGCTACATGTCAGTTTGAAAACTTATAGATAGTATAAAGTTCACTTAGCTAAAAAATTACTAGTCTATACATTAGTATTTACTAGTACTCTTAGATTAGATACCGCAAGAAACATGTATAATATATATTCAACGAAACATTTACGTATTGAAAGGGATCCAGTCCACATCGACCCTAAACTAGTGCGTGACTCTATTGGTTTCCTTTTTGGGCAATGCGTGTCTTCATAATTTAGAAGGAGAAAGTAATGTTATTTATAGAATAAATTAAATTGAAACAGAAGTTGGGAGTTCTATGGTAAATTTCTTTTCTTTTTTGCTTGACAATATTTTGAAAACTATAATCAAATTAAATGTCACTGCAGACTTCAACTAAATGTAACCCTCACACTCACACTATACGTACGTAAGAGCCAGCCACTGAAACAATTGAGTAAGTTAAGAGTGGTCAGAGCAACATTATTGGTAAGCTCTTAGTTTTGGCTCTTAGCCTTAGTTTAATATTAAATTTGTAAAGTTTAGAGTTAAGAGATTGTTTTTTGGTTTTAAATTTTTTGTGTGTCCAATGGTAGACTCTTAAGTTGTGGTTCTGAGAGAAAAAAAATTAATTTTAAAAAGAATAAAATAAACAATTTTAATTTTAGAAAACTTAATAAGAACAAGTTATATAGAAGAGTGCAAATTTGATTTTAGAAAACTTTGGTTAATCAAATCAGATGAGGAATGCATAAGAACAAGTTAATTATTGTTTTTCCAATAACAATTTGAAGACGAGACTTTTGCTGTAATAAAATTGTTAGTCCACAAGTTCTTTTTGTTTACGTAAAGATAGTAAAAAAAAATCATGAGGTCTCTATTCCATGTACACACATTCTGAAGCTACTACACAAGACTAAGAGGATGTTTTTTGGTTCCTACGACTCAAGAGATCAAAACATATAAAACTAAAAAGTGACTGTGTTTGGAGTCATTGTCAAGACATTTGCGTTCATGTAGTCATGGTCAAACATCTTAACCTTATCCTTGTGCAAGAGCTTCGACCGAATCAGTTGTGTAATGTCAAAACTTATCTCACCATGGAGGTGAATGTCTCTGCTACTCTGAAATATATGACACCAAACACGACTATGACATTATTGCCAATGTCACAGTTTTCCGGCGAAACTAAGCCTCTACTGATCCGGAGGAATGCCTTCCTTGTCTTGGATCTTGGCTTTAACGTTGTCGATGGTGTTATTTGGACAGAGAAAGACAACATCAATAATAAAACAAAAATGCAGAGAAATCAAGCAGTGCCATGTCAAAAATGCCACACTAACTAAGCCATTGGATCTGTATCAATCATTCCTAGTATCAATAGATGTAACTAGTGCAAGATTAAGTCTTAATCTGAAAAGACTCATTTACATGCTTGAGAACCAAACGTTTCCGTCAAATCCAAGCTAAATGGGATATAGACATACACAAGAACACAAACATCTAATTGCAAAGATATCTCTAGATAGAATCCTGCAGAGCAAACACCATTAGAAGAACACAAACAGTTCCTGCAAAGCAAACACCATTAGAAAAACGATTGCCAAAAGAATCAATAAAACAATGCTGAATCTTGAGGCCATCCTTGAGTAAAAGCAGCTGCAACCTTTCTCCATGATTCTGATAACAACACTCTTCTCTTCCCAACTACATTTGAACAAAACATGTATTGCATAAATGGAATTCAAACATGAATATATATCTCAATGATTTTTTTTTAAAATGAACTTTGCTCTAGATCGGACTTCCTTTGCGTAAAATTGGCCGATCAATCCATACTTCCAACGTGAAGAGAATCCGAATTTCAATAAATTAAGGGTTTCAAGACCGACCCTACATCACAACAAAATTCGATTCCTAATCTAAAAACGTTACGATTAGTGAAACAATTAGGTTTTAACATATCTTAGACTTCGTTTTCTCTCATTATCCATTATCTGATTACCCATCCTTCCAGGCCTCACAAGCGCATGATCGAGAATGTCTGGTCTGTTTGTGGAAGCAATCGGAGAGATGCGAAAGAGAGAGAGAAGGAAGAGAGAGGAACACGGGAGAATATTTCAGTGGTTTCTCCCATCCTTTCAGGCCACCGATTGTTTCCGATTTGCACCAAATCGCCTCTGGTTTCGCAGTCGTCGAAGCGTAAAAGAGAGAGACAGAAACACATGAGCGCAAAGAATGACACGTGTGCGCCTCTTAGATGAATAAATTCATATACCGTTTTGAATTTTTGATTCGTTATTACTTATTTGTATCGATCTGATTCAGAATAAGTGTATTGGTTACGAGGTTAGAATAAGAAAGAAACAAAAAAAAAACGAATCAAACCGGATCTAAAATTCTCGGTTAAGAGTAATAAGAATCCCGAACTGGGGCCAATGCAGGAAAAGGCAAAAATGGAAATAGGCAGTAAAAAAAGATATCCGGAAGTAGATCGGGGGATTGAACCCGACGTGAATCGAACACGCAACCTTCTGATCTGGAGTCAGACGCGCTACCATTGCGCCACGGATCCGGATGTTAGGTTCTCCACTTAATTTTATTTAGTCAGGAGAAAATTGTAATTAGCGTAGTTCTTCAATTGGTGAATTTGGTATTTTCATTTCTTTTCAATGATCGATCCAAAATGTATTGACACGAATCGTTTCTGTTGCATAAAAATGGCATTTACTCTCTAAACTTTTAGAACAACTCTTTCATGACGAAAGAGAAAAAAGCTCATGTATTTACAATGAATTAGTCTATTTCTAACTATGAAGAAAAAAATGTTGGATCAATCATTGGAGCCGAGAAGTCACATTGATGAAGGTATCTTCAGGACAAGGAATTGTTAAGCCACCCATCGGATGATCGAACCCAAACTCTTCCTCGGATTTACTGAGAAGAGCTTGAAATGAAGGCTGGTTTAAATATGAGATTGGCACCAAATATCTCTTCTTCTGGCTCTCTCCTACGTACACCGCAAGAAACCCTTTTGGTGCCGCAGAGGCAGCTGCGGTGGAGCGGCTTAGAATCTTCTTTGCTCCCAATAGACTTCTCACCAAAGCCATTTCTATTTTTTTCCTTTTGAATAAAAAAGTTTGAATTCTTTTGAAGCTGCTGAAGATGTATGAAAAGATCCAAGTTATTGGATTGCTTGTTGTTGGTTGATGATAGAAACAATGGGATTATGTGTGTATATATAGAAAGATCAACTACTAAGGAGTTGAAACCTCTCTGAAAAATCATTGAAACTTGTGGTGTACAAGTGTGGGACAGACTAGAACATATTATCACATGGTTCTGTCTTAACCATCTAAAGATGCATTAATGAAATTTGTCTACTTGGATAATCTCATATGCAATTCACAAGGCCTTGTTTTCTCAATGTTTCTGAGATAAGACGTATGCCCTATATTTTCAAAAACAAAGACAGCTAATTCTGTGATCATTAGGTGGTTAGTTCTTTGTCCTATAGTGTACTCTAATCTCTGCGGTCGAAATGGATTTAATAAGAATTTGAAGTGGGGACCTGAATGTTATTCAACAACAGAACAACAAGACCATGGCACTTTAAGTTGTTCTTTGATTATATCCACATATGACAAATATAAGAGACTTAATATCTCATTTCTTCTCTTCATTTATTTATTATACAGACATGGAGAAAACAAAGTGCAGATAATGCTTTTTAGCTTTCATTGATTGTCAATTTGTCATCTATCATACCTAGAAGACAGAACCATGTGAGAATCTCTTTGTGTATATCCCATACATTCAATGGTTCCAGGGTGGTTTTGCGTCCTTCATTGATCTATTTATACATCCAGAGACAGAGCTAAATCAAAATACCAAGTAGTAAAGCAATTTGAACCTTGAATCTGCTCTTAACCTTTATCAGAAGCTTCAAATTTTGATTTTCCAGAAACAAGAAATGACTTTCTTCAGAGGTATCATGGGTGCAAAGAAGATTATCGGCTTTTCTATGGAGACTACAAGCAAAAGGACAATTTCAGCACCAAAGGGGTTTCTTGCGGTGTACGTCGGCGAAAACCAGGTCCAGAAGAAGAGATATTTGGTGCCAATCTCATATTTAAACCAGCCTTCATTTCAAGCTCTTCTCAGTAAATCCGAGCAAGAGTTTGGATTCGATCATCCAATGGGTGGCTTAACGATCCCTTGTCCTGAAGATACCTTCATCAATGTAACCTCCCGGCTTCAATGATGATGTACTCAAAAGAAGAAGAAACTAACATTAGTTAGATATAAAATTATCCATTGTAAATAGGTTAGATCTTTCCCTCTTTCTTTGTGAGAAAGTTGTGAGACGTATACATGTTTTTGTTTCTGGTAGACACAAACTATATCAGTGAATGATCTAAAAACTCTTCATGGTAGACATGTAAATGTAATCAAAATAAAAGTTTCATCTTCTCTTACGTACAATCCTAAGTTAGCTTGTTTGTATTATCTTCTCCATATTATCAGAATTCATGCCATTCTTTCTAAAAAATTTGGTCATTAGAATCTATTATATATACTGCAATAGCATGCATATGCACATAAAATCAAGAAACGATCAAATAAAGATCACAAGAAAAGTTTCATAAATTTGAAGTGTCATTGAAAGGGAAAACAAAGAAAGAAAGACAAAAAAGCATTCATGACGAAGAGAATTTGAGCGATGAAGCCGCTAACTTTACAAAGACACGAAAGTCTCCATGTGATTTGGGAAAACATCTATGTTGAATGTTTGGCTGTGTAAACTGTCGTAGTTACCAATTCCATAACGGCATCTAAATTCATCACCAAAAATTCCTTCAAACAAGTCTTCTCTAATACTATTACTCCTTGGATCGAAATATAGAACATAAAACGAGTTAGTCAAAGCCCTTGGTGTAAAAATAAACTCACCAGCATCACTAACACCCTTTAACTCTAGGTTAGGATTGTTCCATCCTCTCGTAGAAGGAGGTACACTAAAGCTTTTATACGTCCATTCGTTTCCATCTGCATCTTCCAAAATCCATAGCCTCACATATATATCAGGGAGATATGTAGTATCAACTAAGGCCAACTTTCCCTCATAAGGTACTATCATATAAAAATGTGAAGAACCCTCGGGAAATTTTATAGGAATGAACTTTTCAGATCTTACGTCAAAGCTCATTAGACAACATTCACCACCAACACCAAAAAAGGCTTTATAATAGAGAATTCCATTAACGCAACCAAAATATCCCGCACAAAAATGCGAAGGGAGATCTTGGGATAATATTCTCCATGATTCTTGAGCACCTAATGTAAGAACCCCATGCTGTTTGGAATATAAGCGCAGAACTTTGTGTTTACCTTCCAATGGATCGTATCCTAAAAAAGACCATCCGTTTCCCCGGAGTTTTCTATTGGGCTTTGGCAAGGTTAAAAACTTGTTCATGGTTGGGTTCCAAACTACGGATCTTTTTAATACAATCAAGCCCTGGACGGATCCTGATGAATTATTACAGCTCCAAGAGTAGTTTGTGTTTGTCACCTGATAACTGTAGACAGGAAAATAAGACCCGTCATGATTCTGGTTTTGAGGAAACGAGAAAACGAATCGCCTTCTCTTTTTCAAGAAGGTGAGGAGAAGACGCCGTGGCCGACTCGAGAATGAGTTGATAGAACTTGGAAGTGTAGTGATGGAAGACCAGAGCTTTGACACGCAGAGAAACCTCACAATTGATTTTACAGGAAGTCTTGAGAGTATCTCCAAGATTAGATCGAACGGAATCGGGTCTTGTTGATCATTACGTGTTGCTCTCTGGATCTCTTCCCTGTTCTCCTCTTGTTCGTCCATGGCAGCTTGCTCAACAATACCTTGTTTGATTAAAACCCTAATTCCTTCTTCTTTTTATATTCCCCATCGTGTGTTTTTTTTTTTAATTAAATCCTTTCACAAAAAAAAATGTAAAACTAATATTTTTATTGAAACCTGCTATTTTTTATATAACCAAAAAAAATGTATATTATTAATTTTCATGTCAAATTTTTTTAATATACCATCCTTCAAAATCCATAGATCATACAGACTTCAACAATATAGTTTGCACTATCCACATTGTTATATATAACATGCCGGGATAAATATCTTGAAATTAATGAATGATTACAAATCTTTACAAGAAAACCTAAAGACGTCAAACAATCTCAAAATCTCATAGATGAATGATCAAGAGCAACGAGATGTGAATGTTCTTACAAGGACAAGAGACTCTCAATGTGATTTGGGAAAACATCTAAATCACTGAGAGGACCAAATCCAAGTCCCTTAAGTTTCCTAAATAAGTCACATGCAATTCCTTTAAACTTAGTTTCTCTTATACTCTTTCTCTTCAGATCAAAATACACAACATGGAACGACTTAGACAAACTCCTTGGTGTATAAACAAGCTCACCATCATCAGTAACACCCTTCAAATCTAGAGTCCGCCAAATTTTGACAGAGGTAGGGTACATAACGTGTTTAAATGACCATTTCTGATTCTCTCCATCCTCCATAATCCATATTTCAACACCAGTGCACATAGAATTAACTAAAGCTAACCTTCCCTCATAAGGTACCAATAAACCGCGCATGTGATCATTCATCGGAAATTCAATTAAATTGAACGTTTCAAACCTGAGATCAAAGCTCATTATAGCATGCTTCAGAGTCAAACCACAAAAAGCTTCATAGTACAAAATTCCGTTAATGCATTGCGCGTAGCCTTTAGTAGGGGCAGGCAAATGTAGAGGATTAGCTTCGATCATCCTCCATGATTCTTGAGCTCTCACTGTCAGAACCCGAATCCCTTGGTCTGTAAGAAAGCTTAGTACTTTGTATTGACACTCGATTGGATCATATCCTAAAAAACCTCTTACGTATCTCAAACTGCTGTTTTCAGGTTCAGGTAAAGTTAAGAAACGTCTCATGGTAGGGTTCCAAATCACGAGCTTCTTAGAAGTCTCGAAGCAGATCAAGCCGTGGACTGAATCGGAACAAAGGAAGTGACGATTATTAGGGTTTATCACTTCATAACGCTCCACTTGTGAATAAGGATCGATGGGATTTTGGTGTTGTGGAAACGAGAAAACGAATAGCGTCTCACCCTTTTGGAAGACCAGCAGAACACACGGCTTTGAGGACCGAGTAGGAAACGAGTTGATGAAATATGGATTGGTAGTGACGGAAGACCAGAGCTTAGAGACAGAACGAGATCTCACAATCGATTTGGCAGGCACTCTTGAGAGTATCTCCCACAATAGATCCAGAGGAACAGAGCCAGAGCATTTTCTCTCGGTGACAGGGTTTTGATCATCATGTAAGGATGTCCTTAGCCGTTTAGGGCTTGAGTACTGCGTGTGCTTGGCGAAGAAGCTTCGTGTCAAGGAAGCAGCATTTTCGGTTAAGAAGATTCCTCTGTTGGGTAGGTACCACTGGATGAGTGGTCGTATTAGCGAGGAAAATTGTGATGTTCCTTGGATGATCTCTCCCGTTTTCTCTTTCTCTGAATCCATGGCGGATCGCAACACGATTATACTTTCTTCAAACCCTAATTTGATTTTTAGATAATATACAGATGTACATGTATCCTTCTGCTAGTAACAGACTACAATAATAACGCTTTTAAAGTCGTACTGTAATATTTATGTTTAAGCATATTAATTTCCTTTTAGATTAACCCAAAAAGCTAAAATTAGATTATCGAATATGTTAGCTCGTTGTGGAACACAACAAAAGCACAAAATCTGGAGCAAAAAAAGATATCCGGAGTAAAGTTCGGGGGATTGAACCCGACGTGAATCGAACACGCAACCTTCTGATCTGGAGTCAGACGCGCTACCATTGCGCCACGGATCCGGATGTTAAATAGTCCACTTAATTGTATTTAATCAGAAATTGATTGTACTTGAAATAGTTCTTCCTTTGGTTTTGGTATTGTCTTTCCTTTTTAATGATCGATCCAAAATGTATTGACATGAATCGTTTCTGTTGCATAAAAATGGCATTTACTCTGTAAACTTTTAGAACAACTCTTTCAAGAAGAAAGAGTAAAAAAGCTCATCTATTTACAATGACTTAAGTCTATTTCTAACTAGGAAGAAAAAAATGTTGGATCATCATCATTGGAGCCGAGAAGTCACATTGATGAAGGTATCTTCAGGACAAGGGATCGTTAAGCCACCCATTGGATGATCGAATCCAAACTCTTCTTCAGATTTACTGAGAAGAGCTTGAAATGAAGGCTGGTTTAAATATGAGATTGGTACCAAATATCTCTTCTTCTGGCTCTCTCCTACGTACACTGCAAGAAACCCTTTTGGTGCCGCTGAGGCTGCTGCGGTGGAGCGGCTTAGAATCTTCTTTGCTCCCAAAAGACTTCTCACAAAAGCCATCTTTTATTTTTGGTCTGAAAAGTTTGACTTCTTTTGAAGCTTCTTAAGATGTATGAAACTGGATCGCTTGTTGTGTTTATTGATGAAAGAAAGAATGGGTTATGAGTGTATATATAGAAACATCAACGAATGAGTTGAAATCTCTAAGAAAAAATCATTGAAACTTGTGGTCTTGAAGCGTCGGACAGACCAGAACAGAGAACATGGTTCTGTCTTTACCATTTGAAAAAGATGCATTAATGCAATTTGTCTTGATGAGATAATTAAAGCGTGGGACATTAAACTAAAAACAAACTCCTTATGGGATTCACAAGGGACTGTTTTCTCAATGTTTTTTAGATAAGACATGCTATTGTCAATAATAAAGACCAGCAAGTTTCTATTCTCCATGTTCTGTGATGATCCCATTTTCTAATCTCGGTGGTCAAAATGGATTTAATAAGAACTTAAAAGTGGGGACCTGAAGTTTCTCAACAACAGAACAACTAGTCTCTGTCACTCTTTAAGTTGTTATTTTTTGATAATCTATCCAAATAGAATCACACATAAAAGTTCAGTAAAAGAAGATTCTTTTGGACTGGTAAAAGTTGTTCAACAGAGGGGCCATGTTATTAACAATCATCTCTTGATCTCACTAATCGATTCCAGAAGAGTATCCAATATTTTGTTAGAGAAAACAGAAAAATAACACACACACTCATCAAAATAGATATCCCTTGAGTTTCTTAAAACAGTACAATTACAGTAATGAGATCTTCCATGCCTTGCTTGTCTTTGAACCAACTTAAGTACCTACGTGTAAACATCGGTGAGGAAATCACTGTGATGTTACCCTTAAGGTTAAGATCAAGAATGTTCACTAAGTTAAGCAAATCCTCTTGGTGTAAGGATATTTACACATTATATACACGACAGCAAGATGAAGTATTATTGACGCCATTGTTTCATACACAAAACATGACATTCACATTTTGACTTTTGTAACCTCTTGAACAACTCTTTTCACAAAGAAAGAGGAAAAAAGCTAATATAAGTATTTACATTGAATATTCTATCTCTAACACGGGCTAACTAATGTTAGTTTTTCCTTCTTCTGGAACATCTTCATCGAAGCTGAGAAGTCAGATTGATGAAGGTATCTTCAGGACAAGGGATAGATAACCCACCCATTGGATGATCAAACCCAAACTCTTCCTCGGAATTACGGAGAAGAGCTTGAAATGAAGGCTGGTTTAAATATGAGATTGGCACCAAATATCTTTTCTTTTGGACCTGGTCTTCGCCAACGTACACCGCAAGAAACCCCTTTGGTGCTGAAGTTGTCATTTTGCTGGTAGCCTCTACAGAAAAACCGATAATCTTCTTTGCACCCAAGAGACCTCTGAACAAAGCCATTTCTTGTGTCTGGAAAATCTAAATTTGAAGCTTTTAAGAAAAATTTAGATGCTCAGATTCAAGCTTCGTATTGAATAGTTAGTTCTATCTCTAGATGTATAAATAGATTGATGGACTTCAAACCACCCTGGGACATACACAAACAGAGTTTCACATGATTCTGTTTTCTCCATGTTTTTATAATAAATGCAGAGAAGAAAGGAGATATTCAATCTTTTACTTATAACTGTCATGTGTGGTCCTATTTTGTGGATATCAAAAAAGAACAACTTAACCCTTGACAAAGACTTGTTGTTCTGTTGTTGAGGTACTACAGGTCCCAACTTTAAGTTCTTATTAAATTACACCACAGACATGCATGAGATAATATGATCATCACAGAACATGAAGGAAAGAAACTTGCTGGGCCTTATTATTGACAATAGCATGTCTTATCTTAAAAACATTGAGGAAACAGTCCCTTGTGAATTCCATATAGAGTTTGTTTTTAGTTTATTGGCCCAAACTCAATGAATTATGTCATCAAGACAAATTTCATTAATGCTTCTTTTCTATATTGTAATGACAGAACCATGTGAGCTCTGTTCTAGTCTGTCCCACGCTTCAAGACCACAAGTTTCAATGATTTTTTCAAAGAGGTTTTAACTCCTTCATTGATCTTTCTATATATACACACATAACCCCATTCTTTCTATCATCAACCAACAACAAGCAATATATCCAATAACTTGAATCTTTTCATCCATCTTAATAAGCTTCAAAACTTTTCATACAAAAATAATAGAAATGGCTTTTGTGAGAAGTCTATTGGGTGCAAAGAAGATTCTAAGCCGCTCCACCGCAGCAGCCTCGGCGGCACCAAAAGGGTTTCTTGCTGTGTACGTAGGAGAGAGCCAGAAGAAAAGATATTTGGTGCCGCTCTCATACTTGAGCCAACCTTCATTTCAAGCTCTTCTCAGTAAATCCGAGGAAGAGTTTGGATTCGATCATCCAATGGGTGGCTTAACGATCCCTTGTCCTGAAGATACCTTCATCAGTGTGACTTCTCGGCTCCAATGATGATTACCCAACATTTGGTTCTTCCGAGTTAGAGATAGACTTATTCCTTGTACATAGAGGATTTTTTCTTTTTCTTTTTTCTCTTTCTTGTTGAAAGAGTTGTTCTAATAGTTTTGAAAGTGGATGCCAATTTTTATTCAATAGACACGAGTTCATGGTTCATGTTTATACATTTTGGATCAATTACAGGAAAGATAAAGGGCAACACCAACAACTATTTTATCTTTCTAAAACCAAGTGAGAGTATTAATAATCTTATCCATTGGCTTAATTTAACCACTTCAATGGATAATAAATTGGTTAAATTAAGCCAATGGATAAGATTATTAATACTCTCACTTGGTTTTAGAAAGATAAAGAAACGCAAATCAGACCAAAAGTTCAAGGATCTGTATATGTAAGGGGAACAACGAATGATCTTTAGAGCAAAACTGAAAAACTTATGGTTTTGAGAGACGTAGGAAGAATATATAAAAAAACGCGTTGAAGACTTGAAAGCTCTAACCTGAAACTTTCAGCTAGGCCAATAGAAAAAGTGATTTCGTATATATAGGTGGGATTTAGACTTCTATTAGGAAAACGATTCTTTAAAAAGGAAACTTAACATATCCGTTCGTGTAAATCAAGGTAAGTAAAGCTAAGAAGCGAGTAATTAAATTAGATAAAGTTAGCCAATATCACATTTTTTTCTTTTAAAATTTGTATTCATTGTCAGTTTTAGCGTATGGTATTTTTTATTATTTTCTTTTAAACTTATTTTTCTTATATCTTCTTTTACAAAAAACATACAAGATTATTATTTTACTTCTCTAAATAATGTTCAATGACTGAAAGATTTCTTGCTCTCCTGAAATGGTCAAGTGAGAGATACTTGTATAAGAAGATGAAGATCATATTATCATGTCATTAGTACTTGAAGAAGCTTATGCCTTAAATATTTTCTTGCTCTCCAAAATGTATTGACATCACATGATCGTGTTGGTTGCACAAAAATGGCATCCATTCTCTAAACTTTTAGAACAACTCTTTCAAGAAGAAAGAGAAAAAATCTATTTACAACGAATAAGTCTATATATAACTCGGGAAAACAAAATGTTGGATCATCATCATTGGAGCCTAGAAGTTACATTGATAAAGGTATCTTCAGGACAAGGGATCGTTAAACCACCCATCGGATGATCGAACCCAAACTCTTCTTCGGATTTACTGAGAAGAGCTTGAAAAGAAGGCTGGTTCAGGTATGAAAGTGGCACTAAATATTTCTTCTTCTGGCTCTCTCCTACGTACACTGCAAGAAACCCTTTTGGTGCCGCCGAGACTGCTGCGGTGGAGCGGCTTAGAATCTTTTTTGCACCCAGTAGACTTCTCACCAAAGCCATTTATATATAATTTATTTCTTTGTCTGGAAAGTTGAATTCTTTATGAAGCTAGATCTGAAGATGTATGAAAAGATTCAAGTTATAGGATATATTGCTTGTTGTTGGTTGATGGTAAAAAAAGAATGGGTTATGTGCATATATATAGAAAGATTAATGAAGGAGTTGAAACTTCTTTGAAAAATCCTTGAAACTTGTGGTCTTGAAGCGTGGGACAACATAGAGCAAGAGTTCACATGGTTCTGTCTCTACCATTTGGAAAAGATGCATTAATGCAATTTGTCTTGATGAGATATATAACAAACTCCGTATGCAATTCACAAGGGCTTGTTTGCTCAATGTTTTTTTAGATAAGACATGCAATTGTCAATAATAACCAGCAAGATTTTGTTCTTCATTTTCTGTGATGATCCCAGTCTCTAATCTCTGTGGTCTGAAATTCTAAACGGATTATAATAAATTATAGTGGGTACTGATGTTGTTCAACAACAGAACAACAAGTCTTATCTTTAAAAAACATTGAGAAAACAGTCCTTAGTGAATTGCATATGGAGTTTGTTTTTAGTTTAATGTCCCAAACTCAATTAATTATCTCATCCAGACAAATTTCATTAATGCATATTTTCTAGATTGTAAAGACAGAACCATGTGAACTCTTGCTCTAGTTTGTCCCACGCTTCAAGTCTTCAATATATACCACAAGTTTCAATGATTTTTTCAGAGAGGTTTTAACTCCATCACTATATATACACACATAACCCCATTATTTCTATCATCAACCAACAACAAGCAATATATCCAATAACTTGAATCTTTTCATCCATCTTAATAAGCTTCAAAACTTTTCACCCAAAAATATAGAAATGGCTTTGGTGAGAAGTCTATTGGGTGCAAAGAAGATTCTAAGCCGCTCCACCGCAGCAGCCTCAGCGGTACCAAAAGGGTTTCTTGCAGTGTACGTTGGAGAAAGCTTGAAGAAGAGATATTTAGTGCCGCTCTCATACTTGAGCCAGCCTTCTTTTCAAGCTCTGCTCAGTAAATCCGAAGAAGAGTTTGGGTTCGACCATCCGATGGGTGGCTTAACGATCCCCTGTCCCGAAGATACCTTCATCAATGTGACTTCTAGGCTCCAGTGATGATTATCCAACATAGTGTTCTTCGAGTTAGATATAGAATTGTTCCTTGTAAATAGAGGATTGTTTTTTTTTCCTTTTTTTCTCTTTCTTCTTGAAAGAGTTTTAATGCTATATACACAATCATAATTCACGTTAACACATTTTGGATCGATAATTGAAAAAGAAAGGATAACACCAATTGAAGAACTCTTTTATTATACTATAATTGTTGTTAAAATAAAACCAAGTGAGATCACGGAAATTACATAACAATTTCTAGCTAGCTTTGGAGTAATTTAGTTGTGTAGTGAGATCACTGAAATTACTTAAACGATCGTTGCCCAAAGAGGTTGTTCAAGACTTGAAACATTGGTAATCTCAAAAACGGAGCCGTTTTAAGTAAAACTGTGCAAACGACGTCGTGTTAAGGATTAAAAGTTGAAGTCACAAAAGCGACAGCGTTTGATACAAAGCTGAGGTGAAATAGGGTTTCGCGAGGGGCTTTGTGACTGTTTCGCGAACACTCTCTGAGTAGCTTTCTCTCGGCGATTGCGATTACGATTGCGACGGTCTCCTGATTATCGTTTCTCTGTGAGATCTGCGGTACGTTTTTCTCATTTGTTTCTTTCTCTGTTGGATTCTTTTAGCTTGTTTTGGGTTTGTTACAGATTCTGATCCGTGATTTGGCCTTTCTCAGTGCGATTAGTGAACAGAAATGAACTTTTAGGGTTTTCACTTTTTTTTTCTTGTTTAGGTTAGAGTTATTCTTTGTTAATGGAAGCTATCAACGTTAGTTTGGTTTAGTCTGAAGCTTCTTGTTCGACGATTTTTGCTCTGCAAGTAGAAATGGTTATGTTTATGTCAAAACTTGAAACCCTGTTTATGCTTTTAGCTACTTTGGTCTTTGTTTTGTTTTTCCTTTTTGCTTTATCTGCTTGATTCTGCTGGAACTCTGAATGTGTGTTCTTTTCTGAATGTGTTCTTCTGCTTGATTCTACTTCAAACCAGGGATAAGTAATCGAAGATGAATATGAATCAGCTATTCATGCAATCTATGGCAGAGACTCGTGGCCTCTGTCATCCGGATTGCGTAAAAGCAAGTAATGAGCAAGAAGATTACGGTAAATTATCAAATCTTGAATCTAGAGAACATTACTTTCTCCGCATCATTTAAAGAAACTGTGAATGATTTTAATATAACAGGTTCAATCTAATCCTTTGAAAGAATTATATGAATTGACTACAACATTTTCATCTTTCTTTTTTTTTGTCTTGCAGATGCATCTCAACATGCAGCTATGGTAGCAGTGAATCTGATTAGCTCTGCACGGGTTATCCTCAACCTCGACGCTGTGAGGACTGAGTACTCAGCTCAGTATTTGGTGGATAATGCTGGGAAGGAAGACGACGAGGGAGAAATGGATCAACAAAGCTCTCAGCTCACTTTCGAAAACATCCTTCAGTATATGGTGGAAAACGTCTGGAACAAGAGGGCAGATGTGCAGGGAGAAAGGGAGCAACATCTCACTGTCAAAGACTGCCTTGAATGTGCTTTCAAGAATGGGCTACCGCGAAGAGAACATTGGTCACATGTGGGATGTACGTTCAAGGCTCCACCATTTACTTGTCACATTCCTCGCGTCCCCATGAAAGGAGAAGTGATTGAGACTAAGAGTGTGGATGAAGCAATGAAGCTGTTGATGAAACAACCGGTGGGAGCAAGACTCCATTTATTCAGTCCAGAGATTGATCGTGTTGGAGAGGTAAAGTGTTGTTAGTTAAATTTCGAAGTTTTTTCAGAGATTAATAACAAAGTTTTGATCTAATCTTGTTCAATTTTTTTGTTGTGTGGTAGGGGATTTACGATGGCCCGTCAAGTAATGGATCAAGCTATGTTGGACTTAGAGATGTCATGATAGTTGCAGTGGATAAGTCTGAGGAAAAATTTGTTGTGAAAGTGCAGATCTGTTACAAGAAGAAGACTTCATTTGTCAAAGTGTGTATGAGGCGTATGTTTGTCCAGCTTGATGGTGACGAGGAGTCTCAGGTGAAAGAGCCTACATGTCTGCTTGTTGACTTCTGTATCCCACGCTTATATGTCAACTAAAGAAGAGCTGAAATCTTGGGAAGTATCTGCTAGTTTGTGGAACCTCTTTGTTGGTCCTATTTTAAGAATGTTTTATCAGACTTTTTTTCTGCTTTAAGTATCTTGAAAACCGTATGCTTGTTGTGGAACTCTGTTTGTGGTGTGAATTTAAGATTGTTTTATGAGACATTTATCTGTTTTAAGAAGTGGATCGCTGCTTTCTTCATATTTATTTAGAATCCATCTGCTAAATGTGACACCAATTGGGCACTACTTTCTTCATATTTTCTTAGTCACCTTTAAATGTCTTGTGTTTTCTGGTTCAAAGTAGGTCTTATTGTGCAGGGAGTCACCATGATTTAACACAATAGAAAATGCCATTTTTGTATACAATAGTTATAGCTATTTCGTTGTTATATCCAAGTGAGTTCTCAAGATTACTCCAAAGCTAGCGTGAGATTGTTATATAAAGCTTTATGAATCTATAAGCAAAACCTCGAGGTATTATTGACTGATAAGAACATTTTTACAATATATATACAGCAGCAAGATGAAGCTTTTCGTAGAAAACTTTCTGCAATTCGCATTAACACCATTTGTTCCTCACACACAAAAAATGACATTCACATTTGAGTATTGTAACCTCTTGAACAACTCTTTCTATAGGGGAAAGGACCAACCAGAGAATCATTACAAAACATGGAGAACTAATAGAACAATGTTGCTTGTCCCACAGTCAATTGGATTAGTCAATCAGTAATCCATTTATAGATTAACTAACATCTGAAAACCACAACTTCATCTGATTTCGTTGATTCATCTATATACCGAAACAAAACAAACTCTTCATATCATCAACAACAAGCAATCCAAAATATTGAATAATACTCTTCAGAATAATCTTATAACTCCTAAACTCTTAAAATCATGGAAATGCATTTGATGGGAAGTCTAATGTATGCAAAAAGATTATTGGGAGCCTCAATGGCACCACAAGGATTTTCTTGCATGTCTTTGAAATTGCACCTGTAAGCATTTGGTTATGTAACAATCTTTAGCTAGATATTGGGGTAATATGAAGATAGCGGTTAGCATGAGATTTCCGGAAAGTGATCGGAATTTTGAACTCAACGTGCTACCATTGCGGCAAGGATCCAGATAATAAATAGGGAAACTTATATTTTTCTAACCATGATTTAACTATAACTATAGGTTTTTCAAATGTTGTGGTCTTTAGTTTTCAAAGATCATTTCAAAATGTATTGACATGATCCTTTCTGTTGCACAAAAATGGCATCCACTCTCTAAACTTTTAGAACAAGTACTCTTTCAAGAAGAAAGAGAAAGAATCTATTTACAATGAATAAGTCTATATCTAACTCGGAAAAACAAAATGTTGGATCATCATCATTGGAGCCGAGAAGTCACATTGATGAAGGTATCTTCAGGACAAGGGATCGTTAAGCCACCCATCGGATGATCGAAGCCAAACTCTTCTTCGGATTTACTGAGCAGAGCTTGAAAAGAAGGCTGGTTCAGGTATGAGAGTGGCACTAAATACCTCTTCTTCTGGCTCTCTCCTACGTACACTGCAAGAAACCCTTTTGGTGCCGCCGAGACTGCTGCGGTGGAGCGGCTTAGAATCTTTTTTGCACCCAGTAGACTTCTCACCAGAGCCATTTATAATTTCTTTCTCTGGCTGAGTGTTTGAATTCTTTTTGAAGCGAAAGCTGAAGATGAAAGAAAAGATTCAAGTTATTGGATATATTGCTTGTTGTTGGTTGATTATAAAAAGAATGGGTTATGTGTGTATATATAGAAATATCAATCAAGGAGTTGAAACTTCTCTGAAAAATCATTGAAACTTGTGGTCTTGAAGCGTGGGACAAACTAGAGCAATAGTTCACATGGTTCTGTCTCTACCATTTGGAAAAGATGCATTAATGCAATTTGTCTGGATGAGATAATTAACAAACTCCATATGCAATTCACAAGGACTTGTTTGCTCAATGTTTGATAACACATGCAATTGTCAATAACAGCCAGCAAGTTTTTGTTCTTCATGTTCTGTGATGATCCCACTCTCTAATCTCTGTGGTCTAAAATTCTAAATGGATTTAATAAGAAATTATAGTGGGTACTGATGTTGTTCAACAACATAACAACATGTCTTATCTTTTGAAACATTGAAAAACAGTCCTTTGTGAATTGCATATGGAGTTTGTCTTTAGTTTATAGTCCCAAACTCAAATAATTATCTCATCAAAACAAATTTCATTAATGCATGTTTTATAGATTGTAAAGACAGAACCATGTGAGCTCTGTTCTAGTCTGTCCCACGCTTCAAGACCACAAGTTTGAATGATTTTTTTCAGAGAAGTTTCAACTCCTTCATTGATCTTTCTATATATACACACATAACCCCATTATTTCTATCATCAACCAGCAACAAGCAATCCAATAACTTGAATCTTTCATACATCTTCAGAAGCTTAAAAAGAATTTCAACTTTTCAGATAAAAATATAGAAATGGCTTTGGCGAGAAGTCTACTGGGTGCAAAGAAGATTCTAAGCCGCTCCACCGCGGCAGCTTCTATGAGCAAAGTAGTAACCTCGGCGGCCCCAAAAGGGTTTCTTGCGGTGTACGTTGGAGAAAGCCTGAAGAAGAGATATTTGGTGCCAATCTCATATTTAAACCAACCCTCGTTCCAAGCTCTGCTCAGTAAATCCGAAGAAGAGTTTGGGTTCGATCATCCTATGGGTGGCTTAACGATCCCTTGTCCCGAAGATACCTTCATCAATGTTATTTCTCGGCTCCAGTGATGATTATCCAACATTGTTTTTGAGATAGAGTTGTTCCTTGTAAATAGAGGATTTTTTTTTCTCCCTTTTTTCTCTTTCTTCTTGAAAGAGTTGTTCTAAATTTTTGGAATTGGATGCAGTTTTGATGTTATTGACACAATCATAATTCATGTAAACATTTTGGATCGGAAAAAGAAAGGACAACACAATCATAAGAACTCTTTTTATCATACTATAATTGTTGTAAAACCAAGTGAGGGTATAATAATCTTCAAAATTATCTTAGATGGGAAGTCTAATGAATGCAAAGAAGATCTTGGTGGCACCATTCTTGCATGTGTTTGAAATTGCACCTGATATTTCTCTGTTCTGTTCATATGCATTTTGTCCAAAGGGTATTTTTTTTTTTTTTTTTTTTTTCTCATTTTGTCCAAAGGGTATTAATATAACAATCTCTAACTAGCTTTGTAGTAATTTTGTTGTGTAGTGAGATCACTGATATTACAATGTTTAGGATGAGTTAAAAAGGTTATATATGTTATTGTTTGTAACCGTAGTGTTTCCTGCAACAAATTTAAATCTCATAACACTAGACTACTATGAATTTATCCTGATCGTAACATTGATCAGTAGAACTAGAAATCTTCAAAGCTCTGTTGTTTAAGTCAAGACTTGAACATTGGCAATCTCAAAATAAACGGCGTCGTTAACGAAACTTTGGCAAACGGCGTCGTATTAAGGACTAAAGTTGAAGTCACAAAGCGACGTCGTTTTGGGACTAAGCTGAGGTGAAATAGGGTTTCGCGAGGGCTGTGAGAGTTTCGCGAACATTCTCTGAGTTTCTCTCTGCGATTGCGATTGCGAGTGTCTCTTCTGATTCTCTGTGTCTCCGGTAACATTCTCTCGAATTTTTCTTTCTCTGTTGGATTCTTTTAGCTTGTTTCGGGTTTGTTAAGGATTTTTTTTTCTGTGATTTGGCCTTTCTCAGTGCGATTAGTGAACAGAAATGAACTTTTAGGGTTTCAACTTTTTTTTCTTGGATGATCGATGCTGAATCCTTCGTTAGGTTAGAGTTATTCTTTGTTAAAGGAAGCTATCATCGTTAGTTTGGTTTAGTCTAGAGCTTCTTGTTCGACGATTTTTGCTCTGCAAGTAGAAATGGTTATGTTTATGTCAAAACTTGAAACCCTGTTTATGCTTTTAGCTAGTTAGGTCTTTGTTTATTTTTCCTTTTGCTTTATCTGCTTGATTCTGCTGGAACTCTGAATGTGTTCTTCTGCTTGATTGTACTTCAAACCAGGGATAAGTAATCGAAGATGGATATGAATCAGCTATTCATGCAATCTATGGCAAAGACTCGTGGCCTCTGTCACCCAGATTGCGAAAAAGCAAGTAGTGAGCAAGAAGATTACGGTAAATTATCAAATCTTGAATCTGGAGAAAATTACTTTCTTCGCATCATTTAAAGAAACTGTGAATGAGTTTAACTAATAGTTTACGCCTGTTTTTAATATAACATGTTCAGTCTAGTCCTTTGAAAGAATCATATGGATTGACTACAACATTTTCATCTTTTTTTGTCTTGCAGATGCATCTCAACATGCAGCTATGGTAGCGGTGAATCTGATTAGCTCTGCACGGGTTATCTTCAAACTTGACTCTGGGTATACTGAGTACTCAGCTCAGTATTTGGTGGATAACACTGGGAAGGAAGACGACCAGGGAGAAAGGGATCAACAAAGCTCTCAGCTCACTATCGAAAACCTCCTTCAGTATATGGAGGCTAACGTTTGGAACAAGAGGGAAGATGTGCAGGGAGAAAGGGTGCAACATCTCACCGTCAAAGACTGCCTTGAATGTGCTTTCAAGAATGGGCTTCCGAGAAGAGAACAATGGGCACATGTGGGATGTACGTTCAAGGCTCCACCATTTGCTTGTCACATTCCTCGCGTGCCTATGAAAGGAGAAGTGATTGAGACTAAGAGTTTGGATGAAGCATTGAAGCTGTTGAAGCAACAACCGGTGGGAGCAAGACTCCATTTATTCAGTCCAGAGATTGATCGTGTTGGAGAGGTAAAGTGTTGTTAGTTAAATTTCGAAGTTTTTTCAGAGATTATTGACAAAGTTTTGATCTAATCTTGTTCAACTTTTTATTGTGTGGTAGGGGATTTACGATGGCCCGTCAAGTAATGGATCAAGCTATGTTGGACTTAGAGATGCCATCATAGTTGCAGTGGATAAGTCTGAGGGAAAATTTGTTGCCACGGTGAAGATCTGTTACAAGAAGAAGACTTCATTTGTCAAAGTGTGTATGAGCCGTATGTTTGTCCAGCTTGATGGTGGCGACGAGTCTCAGGTGAAAGAGCCAACAGGTCTGCTTGTTGACTTCTGTATCCCACGCTTATCTGTCAACTAAACAAGAGCTGAGATCTTGGGAAGTTTCTGCTAGTTCTGGAACCTCTATGTTGGTCCTATTTTAAGAATGTTTTATCAGACTTATTTTCTGCTTTAAGTATCTTGAAAACCGTATGCTTGTTGTGAAACCCTGTTTGTGGTCTGAAGTTAAGATTGTTTTATGAGACTTTCATCTGTTTTAAGAAGTTATCTATGGCTACTAAATGTGACGCCAATTGGTTGCACCTCCCAAATCCCAATCATCAAGATGAAGCTATTCGTTGAAAACTTCTGCAATTCGCATTAACACCATTGTTTCCCACACACAAAAAATGACATTTCACATTTGAGTATTGGTAACCTCTTGAACAACTCTTTCTTTGAGGAAAAAGGTTTGACCTATTTACATTTGAATAAACTATATCTCTAACTCGAGCTAAGTAATGTTAGACCTATCTTCTTTCCGGATCATCTTCCCTGTAGCGCAGAAGTTACGGAGATGAAGGCATCTTCAGGACAAGGGATCGTTAAGCCACCCATCGGATGATCGAACCCAAACACTTCCTCGGATTTACTGAGAAGATCTTGAAATGAAGGCTGGTTCAAGTATGAGAGTGGCACCATATATCTCTTCTTCTGGACCTGGTCCTCACCCACATACACCGCAAGAAATCCTTTTGGTGTTGTAGCCGTTACAGAACGGCTCAGAATCTTCTTTGCACCCAAGAGACCTCGCACCAGAGCCATTTCTAATCTCTCAAAATGTAAACTAAAGATGGATTGAGGATAACAAGTTAAATGCTTAGAGTCAAGCTTTGGATATTGTTCTTGGTGATGTGAAGAACTGGTTCTGTTTCTGGATGTATAAATAGATCAATGAAGGAGTTAAACCCACCCTGAAATCAATAAAACTGTAGTCTAGAAGCGTGGGACATACAAGAAGTGAGGTTCACATGATTTTGTTTTCCAGATATGATATATGACAATTGACAAGCAATGAAAGCTAATTGACATTATATTGCAATCTTTTCTTGTCTATAATAAAACATTAGCAGGTTAGTTTCTTAATTATGTGGTGGGACCTCAAGTTGCCTACCAAGAGAACAAGAATGACACATTCATGTTCAAAGGACATAATCTCATGTGATGAAATTTAAAATTGATTGAAATGCAAGGACGACTAACCTGTCAGGTTGTCACATCCATGTGGATATATCTGCAAGAACTTCAGCTTCTTCATCCAACCACCCACATCATAGTGACCATCAGATGGGGTCTTATGAGATCAAAATGTTGAGCATGACTTGACAAACCATGTGTGAGTACATATTAGCTGAAGCTTCTCTGAGCCTGAAAAGACAAATCAGATATCTTCAAGTGACACATATCTATAAAAAAAGTTCCTAAAACTACGCATAAACACATACCCATCAAACGATTATTCTTGTTAGTCACCAATCTTGTACATATAAAACTCTTCCACTAGACTAATGTAACATTGATAGTCAAATAAAAAAGCTTCCTTTTTATGTCAAAAAGATCAAATAAAAAAAGCTTCCTTTACGTTGATTAGCTTCGTTTTCTCCTTCCTTCTCTCTGTTTCTCTCACAAGCGCCATGGACGAGATCCAAATTGCTTCACTCCTCAAATCATCTGAGCTTTTTCCGATTCCTCAAAGCGTCAAGCTTTCGTATGGAACAGCTGGGTTCCGAGGCGATGCAAAGTTACTTGAATCAACTGTCTATAGAGTTGGGATTCTCTCAGCTCTCCGATCGCTCAAGCTTGGATCAGCCACCGTCGGGCTTATGATCACAGCTTCGCATAACAAAGTCTCTGACAATGGCATTAAAGTTTCAGATCCATCTGGTGGTATGCTTTCTCAGGAATGGGAGCCTTTCGCAGATCAGATCGCTAACGCATCTTCTCCTCAAGAACTCGTTTCATTGATTAGAGAATTCGTGGAGAAGGAAGAGATTATGATCGGAGAGAAGAATAAAGGTGCAGAGGTTTGGTTGGGAAGAGATACTAGACCTAGTGGTGAATCGCTTCTCCGAGCTGCGGAGATTGGAGTTGGTTCAGTTTTGGGATCTGTTGCGATTGACATTGGGATTTTGACAACTCCGCAATTGCATTGGATGGTTAGAGCTAAGAATAAAGGTCTTAAGGCAACTGAGAATGATTACTTTGAGAATCTCTCTAGTTCATTTAGGTGTTTGATTGATCTGATTCCAGTTAGTGGAAATGATAAGTTAGAGATTAGCAAATTGCTTGTAGATGGTGCTAATGGTGTAGGTGGACAGAAGATTGAGGAGCTAAGAGAGTCTTTGAGTAATCTTGATCTTGAGATTCGTAACACAGGGAGAGATGGTGGTGTGCTTAATGAAGGTGTAGGTGCTGATTTTGTGCAGAAAGAAAAGGTTTTGCCTTTAGGATTTGCGTCTAAGGATGTTGGGATGAGGTGTGCGAGTTTGGATGGTGATGCGGATCGATTGGTTTACTTTTACATTCCTTCTGAGTCTTCTGATAAGGTTGAGCTACTTGACGGTGATAAGATTCTGTCTTTGTTTGCTCTCTTCATCAAAGAGCAACTAAATGCTCTGGATGATGATAAAGAAGGGAAGCAGTCTCGTCTTGGTGTTGTGCAGACAGCTTATGCGAATGGTGCATCCACTGATTACCTAAGGCAGTTGGGTTTAGATGTTGTTTTTGCTAAAACTGGGGTAAAGCATTTACACGAGAAAGCAGCTGAGTTTGATATTGGAATCTACTTTGAAGCTAATGGCCACGGGACTATACTCTTCTCGGAATCTTTCCTATCTTGGTTAGTTTCCAAACAAAAAGATCTTACGGCCAAAGGTCAGGGTGGTTCGGAAGAGCACAAAGCGGTGTCTAGACTAGTGGCGGTGAGTAACCTGATTAACCAAGCGGTTGGTGATGCTTTAAGTGGAGTGCTCTTGGTTGAAGTGATTCTGCAACACATGGGATGGTCAATACAGAAGTGGAATGAGCTATACAAGGACCTTCCTAGCAGACAGATCAAGGTCAAAGTTCCAGACAGAACAGCGGTTGTGACCACAAGCGAAGAAACCGAGGCTCTGAGACCTTTGGGGATTCAAGATGCTATTAATTCTGAAATCAACAAGTACCCGCGTGGCAGAGCTTTTATAAGGCCATCAGGTACAGAAGATGTGGTGAGAGTTTATGCAGAAGCATCCACTCAAGAAGCTGCTGATTCTTTGGCTAATTCTGTGGCTCAGCTCGTCAAAAGCTTCCTTGGTTAATGGGAGACTTTTTGTTTTTCTTGTTAATCTCTTAGCTTTCACATCTTTTGTATAACCCGAATGACATGTTCTCTTGTCTGCTTCTTGTGATTTACTTTGTTTATTTTCTAGCTCTTCTGCTCCCTTTCCTCAACGTAAACCTAAACATGCTTTATTTCCTGAAAAGAACCAGCAAAAGCATTGATCTTTTTTCTTATTAATGAAGCTCTAAGAACAGAATGTTTCTTCTCCCGAAATTGTGCAAGGGAAGATAGTTGTTAAGGAATCAGTAGCAGCTACTTATAGTAAGATCATAACAGTGGTGTACTTGAAGAATCCTTATGCCGTAAGGGAACTTAGCAACTTTGTTTTCCTGTCCTATCTCTCAACAACTTTGTCTCCTACAGAGACTTCACCACGAACCTAACATATAATCTTCTATTACTTGCAACTTTCATGTGAGATCCTATTTGTGGGTATCATAAAAGAACAACTTAACCAGTGACAGAGACTTGTTTTTCTGTTGTTGAGCAACTTCGCGTCCCCACTTTAAGTTGATATTAAATACATGTAGACCAAAGAGATTAGAGAATAGGATCATCACAGAACATGGAGAAGAGAAACTTGCTGGTCTTTATTATTGACAATAGTATGTCTTATCTTTAAAAGACATTGAGAAAACAGTCCCTTGTGAATTGCAGATGGAGTTTGTTTTTAGTTTAATGTCCCACACTTAAATTATCTCATCAAGACAAATTGCATTAATGCATCTTTTTCAAATGGTAAAGACAGACCCATGTTCTCTGTTCTAGTCTGTCCGACGCTTCAAGACCACAAGTTTCAATGATTTTTTCATAGAGATTTCAACTCATTCGTTGATCTTTCTATATATACACTCATAACCCATTCTTTCTATCATCAACCAACTACAAGCGATCCAGTTTCATACATCTTAAACAGCTTCAAAACTTTTCAGAACAAAAAAAAAGATGGCTTTTGTGAGAAGTCTTTTGGGTGCAAAGAAGATTCTAAGCCGCTCCACCGCAGCAGCTTCTATGAGCAAAACAGCAGCCTCAGCAGCGCCAAAAGGGTTTCTTGCAGTGTACGTAGGAGAGAGCCAGAAGAAGAGATATTTGGTGCCAGTCTCATACTTGAACCAACCTTCATTTCAAGCTCTTCTCAGTAAATCCGAGGAAGAGTTTGGATTCGATCATCCAATGGGTGGCTTAACGATCCCTTGTCCTGAAGAAACCTTCATCAATGTGACTTCTCGGCTCCAATGATGATGATCCAACATTTTTTTCTTCATAGTTAGAAATAGACTTAGTCATTGTAAATACATGAGCTTTTTTTCTCTTTCTTCTTGAAAGAGTTGTTCTAAAAGTTAAGAGAGTAAATGCCATTTTTATGCAACAGAAACGATTCATGTCAATACATTTTGGATCGATCATTGAAAAAGAAAGACAACACCAAAGTCACCAATTGAAGAACTAGAACTACTCTAATTTTAATTGATTATGATTAAATAGAATTAAGTGTAACACATAACATCCGGATCCGTGGCGCAATGGTAGCGCGTCTGACTCCAGATCAGAAGGTTGCGTGTTCGATTCACGTCGGGTTCAATCCCCCGAACTTTAACTCCGGAAATCTTTTTTTTTTAACTGCTTTTTGCCCTTCGCTTTTGCTTCGTTTCATCCGGTTTAACCAGGAGGCTACTCTGGTTTGGTAATCTAATTACTCGTAACCGAAATCAACGTCTAAGGGCCAAGGCTATCTATCTTCAATTCATACTCGCCTGTTTTTGTGCCACAAAAAGGTTTTTCATCGGATAAACAAAGGCCTAAATAATTTTGCTACCACTTGAACTTTTAATTTGTTCTCAATTATGTAAAATTATCATTTATATTGTTAGTTATTCTTAAGTGATATGACTAAATACTAGTTTTGAAAAAATTTCAAACTTTCAAATTCAATCTCATGTGAAGCGTAGGGTCACATCTATATCTAGTTAAAGACTAACATATAAATCAAAATTTGAATATATAGTAACCAAAAATAGGAAACAAAAATTAGCATAGAGATTCCAACTTATGTTACATTTTTATCATATATATAAACATCACATTGACACGTTACGCATTAACTATGGATTAGATGTGGAATACATGCAGGTTACATCTACCGCACTATCTTATACAATATATATCTGTTCTTAAATTTTTAGAAATTCGATCTGTTTTGTGTAAGATTAAAAAGTATGATCAAAGAAAAAGTGTAAGATTAAAAAGTAAATAAAATTATATAATTTAAGTTTAAATTGGCTGTAAACCAGTAACAATAGAAATTTAAGACTTATTGAGTAAATGAAGTTGTTAGTCACTGTCATTGTAGTAAATTAAGTTACTAAAACTAGCAAAATGCTCTGCTTTTTGCGTGTCTTTGAAGTCACAAAACACAGTTCCTCTATTTAGTAATATGAGGGAAGAAAAAATAGAAAGAGAATTAGTGAGTCATAAATCAGAGAGCGAGAGAAAAGTAGTGAGAAATAGAGTGAGAGGTTAACGAAAGAGAGAACAATGAAGAACAGAGCTTTTGGTCAGATTATGGATGATGCAGAGAATCCAGGGTTCTTCAAGATCCTTCGACCGGCAGATTTATCATCTGAAATCATGGTTAATTCTCTTGATTTTCTCATACTTCATCACCGATTTAGCTTATTTTTGAAAGATCATATCTTTTGGTTCTTACAAGGTTATAATTGGTCTCTAAAGTAAATGTGGTCTTCATTAACTTAGATCTGTTTGTTCTTGGTGAAATTTTGCTCTGTTTTGTTTTTTTTCCTTTCCGATTTCTTGTTAGGTTTGTGTGTGAAATGATCGGACCAAATCAATTAATGTTCAAAAGTTTGAAACTTTGGCCTCAATGTGCTTGGTGGATGTGAAGTTTTCAGTGATTGTCACTGTAATTGCATAATTCAACTCTTTCTTTCATTTCTTGACAAATCTTTTTCTTGTTATATGTTGAAAGAGAGGGATCCCTCTAAACTTCATCAAAAGCATCTCGGACGAAGAGTTCTTGCATAAGATGGTGTTAAAAGTGTCATGGGGAAGCTCTTGGCCTATCAAAATTTGTAGAAACCCAAGCTTCTACTTTATGGAGAAAAAAGGATGGGATCAGTTTTTGAGCGACTATGGTTTAGGTAATAACGAGTTTCTTACCTTCACACACCAAGGAAATATGTGCTTTAGCGTGGACATCTACCAAATAGATGGTAAAGAGCTACTTACACCACGCAGATCTGCAACCATTGCTTCTAGTTCCGGTAAGTTTTCATCTATGTGATTGCTTTCTTGATGCTTAAGGAGAAGAAGAAGACAGTGTTTAATTTACTTTTGTGGTTGATTTTGATGAAAACAGGTCGGAACAAGAGAGAACAAAGGAAGAACATCTACAAGGATGTGAAGAAGGAAGAAGAGTTAGAGTCTTGGTCTGAATCGAGCTATACTGGTCTCAAAACAGCTGAATCTACAAGAAGAAGACAAAGGCTTAGCTTGAGTTATAAGAAAGCTGAGGAAACTGAGACATCAAACAAGAAGAAGAGGATGATGGAAATGGAAAGTATTTGTAACGATTCTGAAGACGACAATGTGTCTCTTGTTCCAGAATTTACCCTCACCATAAAGAAATCATACCTCTTTTTCTTGGTAAGATAGACAAAAACATGTTACATTGTCAAATTGGTATGTCATATAAATGTGAGTTATGAATCCAACAAGGAATTTGTGATTCAGGGGATTCCAAAGATGTTTGAGGAGTTGCATATGCCAACGGAAGCAACGATGTTCAAGATTCATGATCCGGAAGGAAAAAGGTCATGGGATGTTATGTATAAGTTCACTGGTACACAATCAAGATTCTGTGCTGGATGGATTCGTTTGGCTAAAGAACTAGGTTTAAGGATTGGAGATGTTTGCACGTTCACACTCATCAAACCTACCGAGATGCTTGTTAAAGTCTCCAAATAAGAGATGTGATATTAGTTTGATCACTCTCTCAAAATCTAGTTAATGTGTTAGGAACAAACAATCTTCACTAGTTATGGTTTGGTGTCTTATTAACGTTTTGTTGTTTGCTACATTGTTTCTCTTAAGACCTTTTGTGTTGTTTCTCTCCGGTTTGGAATTATAATTTCGCTTAACCGAGAGTTTTAGCTCCGGTTTGATTCGGTTTATAGTTATTTTTAACCAATACTCAATTTTAGTTTCAGTATAATCCGATAGACATTTTGTATCAATTGCCAAACACAGAACCGATGGAAGCTCCTAGAGGCAATCTGAGAGCGGTGGCTCTTATCGCCGGCGATAACAACGTCCGGGGATGTCTTCAATTCATACAAGACACTTTCGGTGATCTGTCTTTATCGGCGTAAATATTTTAGTCTATGAGGACTTGTTTTATATTTCACTCATTGGGCTTTGGTCTGTGGTCTTTGTGTGTTTACCAGGAACCACTCATGTTACCGGGAAGATCTCAGGACTGTCTCCTGGCTTCCATGGATTTCATATTCACTCTTTTGGTGATACCACAAATGGCTGCAACTCTACTGGTCTGTTCTTTTTCTCTGTTGAGATTGAAACTCGAAGCTTTTGTTGTTGGTTTCTTTCTTGTATTCACCTGAGTTTGATTTACTTTCTGATGAATTCGATTTTTTTTGTTAGCTTGTTCTACTTACAAGTCTTTAACTGTGTCTCTTAAATAAACTTTATCTAAAAGACTGAAACACATACTGACATAATCTTGATCTTGATGTAACTGGATTGGTTTGGATCATAATTTTAGTGTAGGATGGCTCTTAGTGTTGCCAAAGAATTGGCTCAAGGAACAATTTGGTTAGCTGACAATAGAACCAGAGACGAAGCTTAAAAAATCTCAGCTATGAATGTTTGCTTTTGCTTGGTTTTTCTCCTTTGTGATATATGACTGAGTTCTCATGAAAATGATAACTTTCAGGACCTCACTTTAATCCACTAAATCGAGTTCACGGGCCACCGAATGAGGAAGAGCGTCATGCAGGCGATTTGGGTAACATTCTTGCAGGATCAGATGGTATAATCTTTTTCTCATCTCTATATATGGTTTTGTGCTCTTTGAAGAATGATGCTAGTATTCTGTGGATGAGACTTGTTTTCAGGTGTTGCTGAAATCTCAATCAAAGACAAACAGGTATATTATCTTCTTTTTTCCCCTCCTTAAACCATTTAATGTTTGGCAAAATAACATTTTCAGGTTACTTTTGGAAATCCTAAGCTTCTTAGATTGTGCATATATATATCTCTGACGTTTCCCCATTTATCTCAACTTCTCTTTGAATTCACAGATACCACTTAGTGGGCAGTATTCTATACTGGGGAGGGCGGTTGTTGTGCATGCTGATCCTGATGACCTTGGGAAAGGTAGGAACTTCTTTTAGCCTTTGGATATCCATATGGTCTAATATCACAATATGCAAATTAAGTTGTAGAAGTTTAATCTCAAAAGCAATCACTGTAGTTTCATGTAGTTGTCATCAAGTACCAGGCATTAGTTCTTAGGTTGATGTGCTTTATCGATGCTAAAGAGCCATGATCTCTTTTTGCGATTGTTACTGCAGGAGGGCACAAGCTTAGCAAATCAACGGGAAACGCCGGCTCGAGAGTTGGATGCGGTACTGCTACAAGGCTAAGATTTTGAAAAAAACAGAGCAACACCATTTTCTCTTATTTTCTAGTTTCCAGTGTGTGAAGTAATTCACTCTTATGTTTTGATGTTGAACCAGGTATCATCGGACTTCAATCATCTGCAGATGCTAAACTGTAGCTTTTGAGTTCAATGGACTATCCAGAGCAGGGCCACACTCAGTTTTTCATCAGTAGATGTACATTAGAGACCATAGTACGAAGTGAAATTGTATATCGACATCCTGTTACTGTTTAAGACATGAGTCATAATGTAAACCAGTACGTAATCTCCAGTTTTCATTGAAAATGAAGTTTTGAACAAGAGTCAAACCATTGAAGGTAGCAAGATGTAGAAACAAGAAAACGATTGAGCACATACTGACACAGAATTTGCCGGGATTTTGTTTTTTTTTTCTGGTATTGTAAGCCTTCGGTACAGTATGGTATTGGATACAGGGTTCAATCCAGATATCTTCCCAGGTTGCAGATGAGCTTCCCAAATCTTCTCCACATTACATGATACAATCGTCCACTTTGAGCCTATCCTCTCAGCCATGTGTTTCTGTAGGAAGAGTTGTCGCGGAGAGAAGCATCGTGGGGCTTGTATTCCATGACATATGCATGGGGCAACTTCAAATGCCGCTTGATTGAGTCTCTCAAACCCATCACTGCCTGTTTAAAGAAAACATTGCACTGTGTAAGTACGAAACAAAAGGAGGGAGAGAAACTTCTTCTTGTGAACAGTTTTCTCACCTGATGGTCAGAAGCATTGCGATTCCATACACTAATGATGTCCTCATTGAAGCGGACACTCAGTACTGCCCCACATATGTTATCAGCGTCATCAAGCTGGTCGCCTACCAATGCAAGAAGCTGAAGAAAACAAACAAATGGAAGAGTATATAACATAACATTATTCCCAGACCCTAAGTATGGAAAATGGACAATAAAGAACATTGAAAAAAGGGGTTTCTTTTAAATGAAGTAGAAAGGTGTCAATACTCCAATAGTAATCCCACAAGAAAATAAACTCACCAGATCCTCCCAGAAGCGAGCAGATACAACTTTTGAGAAACGTATGATCCACTTTCCTCCATTGCAGTTGGCGCCATCCTGAAGGAAATGAATTTAGCTAGTTTAGTTGGTTTATTGTAGGAGATACAACTTTAAAGAAACCTATGTTGTATAAAAGGTTCCCACTCTATCGATGATCCACATAAAAACACACAATAAGAAAAATCAGCACAAGGAACTACCTCCCACAACGGACGAATCCCATCCTTGAAGAAATGAAGATCTGTTGGACTAGGCAAGAGAGAAGAACGTGCAAGATGACAGTAGCAGGCCCAAAACCCTTCAACCTAAATTACCAAAGCCATATCTCAGAAACGAACAAGATATTATTGCAAACAGCTTCAAGAATGAACTTCCATTAGTATTTTTAAACTTACAGTGCTGAATTCCACAATCCTCTTAATGTTATCCTCATAAGATTGGTTCCGAACCCCTGGTGTGCGACGAGTGTACCATATCGAAAACTTGTACTGCACAATACCAAAAGTCCTAGAGTCACTGAGCCAGTATTTTCTCTAAATCAATCTGACTTGTTCTAGCTAAAATCAGTACCACGAATATGAAAACCACACTAGAGTAGAATCCTATAACATTTGAGCTCACATACATCAAAACAAAGTCGTAAAACCTAATTCGAAAACAAAAACTCCAACAAACAAAGATTTAGAATCCGAATCTTCCACTACTCCAGCTATAAACCGTCATATATAAAGTTCACAATCTTCACGGGAATCAAATTTTTACCTAAGATCAGAATCAAATTGCGAATGAATCGATAAAAAGGATAGAGGACCAACCCGTAGAGGATGGAGACCATCCTTGAGCTCACGAGAGCGTCGTTCTTCGGAAACAGAGTCGGTAACATACTGCGACTTGATGATGTCCATGTTTCCAGAGTCCCTGATCTCTTCGTCTCTCCTATCCGCAACCTCCATTTTTTCTCGATTAGAGCTTAACGCGTTGGTGCTTCAAAAGCCCTAAAAATCTAATCAGGAAGAAGAAAGAGGAGAAGAGAGGAAGAGCTCTTTTACTCGGTCAAATACATAAAGGTCAAATTCTGGAGAAAAAAAAATAGCCTTATGGGCCTTATTGGGTCTAAAAATGGGCCTTCAAGATTAGTTACTTTTGGGTCACATCGTCTCTCTAAAATTAGTTAATAGTACTAATCCTCACAAAATTCTCTTTTATTTTTTTAAACTATAAAAATTAATAAGTGAACAAAATGTATTATTAGTCGTTGGTTATTACATAAACTAATCCAACCGAAACAAAAGAGATATGTCTTAAACACATATCACGGCAAGATTAGTGGCGTAGTGGAGAAAAAAAAAAAGGAATGTGACGAATGCGATTTGTCAAAAAAGAAAATTAAAAAAAGAATCGATTTTGGCGTTCTCCATCTGTAATGTATGTTTCTGCAAAAACAAGTGACAATAAAAACTTTTTCATGGATCTGAGATTTTCCCCAAACTCATATTTCTGAGAAGACACTATTTTAAATTTCCTGAAGTTTTTCTCTTAAAGTTGTGTTCTAATCTAAGGTTTCCCTTTGGTTTGGTTTCGTGCTTGTTTTTTAATCTAATCTCTTGTTTTTGTTTGTGAAAATTGTAAAAAGTTTTGATCTGTGTTTCTCTGTTTTGCCGTAGATTTAGGTTTCTGATTTAATGAATTTGTGGGTCTCCTCCATAATCCTCTTATCTGCGATAGCTGGATCATGCTTACCTTGTGGGTTCGCTTACGTTGACGTTTGCAATCACGATTTCGAGGTGTTTCGATGCGGGATCCAGCAAAAATGTCCTCTTTCTCTCTATCCGAGCCCTCCTATCGAGGTACGTCATCATAGTTTATAAAAAGTTTTATGATTTGTTAGCAAAATGAATATTTTTATCTTCGATTGGATTAGGCATGCGTTTGGTGTGCTTAAAGTAGAAGAATTTGCTTAGATTTCTCTTCTCTTGAAAATTCAGATGAAAACTCTTCTATAATGTGAATTGCAAGGATCGATTCGAGCTCTCTTTTGCTTGTTTGGCATGATGTCACTTTAGTGTTGTGGTGGTTGTAACAAAGTCTCTTTTTCAACTTTTTGTTGTAGTTTTCATTATGCAAGCTTAATGAGAACGGTATAGGCTTGTAGCTTACCTTCACTGAGGTCTCAGAGGGTTTTTGGTTGTGGTAGTGGTTTACCTGCAGTTAGAATTTTGAGGAATGTTCAATGGATATAGAGGCCCTTGCTATAAAAAGAAGTTGGTGGAAATATGTTTGTTTTCAGTCAATATATTAGTTCATGATGAAATAAGCTACTTAGATGGTTGGATTGTTTAGGTTGGAAAAGTGTAAATATGATGTATTTATGACGATCATACTTGTTTCTCTGATATTTGGGATCTCGCTTACCTCATGACTGTAGTATTAGTTTACTTAAAGTTCTTTATTTGTGTCAACAGTAGTATAAGCTACTAACAGAATCTCATCATGTCAGCTGCACAGTATTAGGTTTAAATTCTTATGTTGAAATGCAGCGAAGATGTTACTGCAAAAAATCGATAATATGTGTGTGTGCTTCTCCATAGGGTGTGGACTTGGATCTGTGCTTGTTTTTGCAACTCAAGAAGTCTCTAAAATTGTGTTTTTGCTAATGCAGGTAGATGGAGACTTGCTAGACAGACTCATGGATGCGAACCATGGAAATGCTTATACATCCATACTATTTTATGCCTCATGGTGCCCGTTTTCACGTGCAGTACGCCCGAATTTTGATGTTCTGAGCTCAATGTTTCCTCACATAAAGCACCTGACTGTTGAGAAATCTCAGGCTTTACCATCGTAAGAACTTATTTAGAATACATATATAATTCTAATTGGATCTTATCTGATATAGTGAGGCCAAGGATCAATTGAATCATTCACAACAAGAAATTTGGGTGTTGATATCTCCCTTGCAGAAATAAAATGACTTGAAATTGCTTGTCAGATTGTTTATTACTTGCCAGTAATCAATCATTTCTTACACTGATCAGTAAAGTTTTCGTCTTAATGAGTTAGTTTTACTAAGACAGGACAAATAATTAAACATGACAGAGATCCCGAGATGAATGCTATTGTCTCTTTTTCTTGCACGCTTTGCCAGAGACTACTTTTTAGTTTATTTGGTGATCATCAAATGTGATTAGTTCGTTTTTTGTGCTCTATAACCCTTTTAGCTATATGAAGTTGTTTCATGAGTAGCTTATCCTCCAAAATACTAAACGTTTTCATGATTTTTTGGCATTTTTGGTCCATGTTAATTGATCTCATTATTTTAATTATTGCAGTGTCTTTTCTAGGTATGGTATCCATAGCTTGCCTTCAATCCTGATGGTGAATCAAACAATGAAGATGCGATACCATGGTCAAAAGGATCTTGCATCTCTTATCCAGTTTTACAAGGAAACAACAGGTGAGAGCATTCTTCATGAAATACCAGACTGCGTCTCTGTTTGTGATTTCTTCTCATATTTTCTACTGTATCTGACTACATAAGAAACATGTTCAATCAGTTTAACTTTTAATATAACAAGCTCCACTTGGTGTATCTCTGTGGCTTTCCAGGTCTTAAACCTGTCCAGTATGTGGATGAAGGTGAAACAACAAGCTTGGACACTGATGGTAATCTGATCACATGGCTACACAACGGGTCATCTATCAGAGAAGTAGCAGAAAGAGAGCCATATATGGTACTGGCACTGATGTTTCTGTCTTTGAAACTGGCAATTTTGATCTTCCCCATCATGGGATCACGCTTGAAAACGTTATGGGCATTGTATGTTCCGCATCTGAGCTTGGGAATACTCGGTGAGACTAGCCAACTGTTTGGCCGTGCCCTACACATGATCGATGTGAGGAGACTATGGATGAAACTGAGACTCACCAAAACAAGGAACTTCCAAGAAAGAGCAAAGAACGCACTTGCATCGGTCTCGCTAGGAAAATCTTCATCACAATCAGCCTAAAAGGATGATTCAGAAATACTTCACTGTCGATGAGCTTAGTTTAGATTACTATACTGTCTTGTGAGAGATCCTTTGACTGACATGTTTCTATAACTTTGGAGTTCCTCTGTCTGTCTCTGTATGTAAATCCTGTTTTTGCTTCTTTTGTGAATATTTTTCTTCCTTTTTGAATATTCTTCTTCTTGGTCCACTTCGTTGTGCTTACGTTTTGTCTATATTGATTATGGTTGGTTTGGTTTAATAGGTGTTAGAGATGGACACTTGGGTCGTATATGTGAAAGAAACCTGTCCAACTTGTGGATCACTCTGGTTCACATGTTTTGAAGTTTCGTTTTCCTGTCGCTTTTGCGTATGTGTCTGACAGTTGAATCTCTCTATTTAGATATTTTCAGCTTAGGAATCCTTACTCAGTTAGTTGATAAGCTTTATACCAATTTTGATTCTCTATCGTTTATGACAGTTATGAGATTAAGCTTAGTTTCAGGCTTAAACAGACTTAAAAAGCATAAAATCGAAGAAGCAATCTTCAAAAATTAAAAGTGTAGGGAAACAAAGAAGCACAAAGAGGTGAAAAAAAGGTAGAGCAAAGCAAAAGGAAATGGAATCGCTAACAACAAATGGAGTATATGTTATGAATGAAGTTTCTTTTCTTGTAGATTTAGAGTTTTTTTTTTTTAAATTTGCAATTGAATTTTGTATGCTAAATAAGCATGCTCTTTGTACAATGGCTGCTATAAATCTTTGAAATTTTGTAATCTTGATTTTTGAAAGAAAAGCTTTGCTCAAATATTTTCTATTAGCTTTAACAAAAAAAGAAAAAAATCTATTATCACGTTAAGGATCATATCGGGATGAGATAAAATCATAATAAGCTAAATAAATGATTCTAGGTGTTCTTAAACGACTTCCTCTTTATACACTTGTTAAATGAAAATTTCGTTGCTTTTTCCTTGAATAACACTAGTAATTGCGAGCAAGCAACCTCCACTATTATCTTTTAGTATCATTTTTCTCCCTAGAAAAGGACTTTAAACTCGTAACTTGTATAACACATCATCTTCTCTCTTTCTTCCTTTCGTTCTTTTGGTTAATTACAAAAGTTTGGTAATTTACTTTAAAAGTAATAAACAAGCCGAAAATATGAAAAACGTTCATGTGTTGGTACCAAGTTTATGCTTGAAGTTTCTTCTTCTCTACCTCTCTCTATCTAGAAAAACTTCAATAAGTTATCAACACCAATAATTTTTGTTTTATTTTATAGGAAATTTAAATACCCGCCTAGGTAGACGTCTTAATCCATAACTTGAGAAAAAAAAAACTCAAAACTTAGTACGAAAGATTCTTCTTAATCATCATGTAACTAAATCATGTTTTTGTCACTAAATATCTTATAATCAAATATTGTCCAAAATTAATCATGGTTATAGGAAATATAAAATATCAAGGAGAGAAGGGACCCAGGGGCGGATCTACATATGGTAAGTAGGGGGCAGTTGCCACCATTAAATTTTCTAATTTCCTTATAGATTTTTAAGAAGTTAATAGATTGCCCCTTTTAAAAAATAATTTCTGCCCCCATTAAGATAATCATTTCTCAAAACTGAATGTTATTTGCCATTTAGAACTATCTTGTTTCCTTTTTTCACAGGTCAATTCATATTTCCTTATTAAAATGCAATTAGTTTCTCTTATTTAACATGATTTATTCGTTTTTTATTTCTTAATTGATTTTTGAAGATATAAATTAATCTATATTTAAATTTTTGCCCCCGGTAAAATATATTGCTAGATCCGCCACTGAAGGGACCTTGTCAAAGAAGACAATCGACACTTCTTAACGTGGGTCATAAAATGGCAACATCTTCTTTTTGTCATTTCATGTGTAGATAAGCTCCAACTGTCTTACCTCACCAAAATAAAAAAAACCGACGATTCACAATTTAACATAGAGATTATCATGGTTAAAAGTTAAAACAATGTGCATTCTGACTTTTCATCATACCAAATCATATTTTAATATTTATCATGGTTAAAACAATGTTTAGCTTACACTGTTTTGGAAAAGATCCGTTAAATTATGTGACTAATCTCCACAATTAATTTATCAGAAAATAAAAAAAAGATATCTTCAAAAATTCTGCTGAAATTGTGTAATTATCATTTTTAAATTACTAATCCCCGACAAAAACAAAATCACTAATCAACACTTTATAATTTTTACATATTTTAACAGTGACAACACTAAATGCGTCAATCTCGCTTGTACCACTCCGATCTTAAATCAACCATTTAAGAGTCTGCTTTTTCCGTCTCTTCTTCTTTTTCTTCTTTGATCATCTATTTAAGGATCTAGAGAAACCACTTCGAAACGATGAGAGAGATAGGTCTCACCTCAAAATTACCAAACACAATTAGCTCCAATAATTGAAACAAATCACTCTCACCCTAACAAAACTTTTCAAGAGTCCTCTTTTTTCTAAAACCCTAATCCGAGAAATCATTCAAGAACAACTCGAAGAAGATGGATCTAGAAGATTGGGAATTACTCCCCAAAAACATCTACAAGGGTCTCGAACTTGATATCGGTCATGACGAGGATCATGAAGCTACGAAGATGATGAGAAACACCGGAAAAAGCTTCGACAGTGATTACTTCATCTGCCCAATTCAAGATTCTGTCGTAAAAACAGAGCTTCTTCATCAGAGATCTAGCGTGGTCCCCACACAACTCTTCCAAATTCCCATAACTTGGGAACCTTTATCCCCCGTGGACGACGACAAAGATCACAAGAAGTACCCGGATCCGGATTTCTCGGAACCAGACCCGGAACTGTTGACGGAGTCTCTTCCGTCGCCGAGAATAACCTTCAAGAAAACGAAGGAAACCGAATTTGCCGACATGAAAATAGATTCACCACCAGCGAGGTTCGCTAGTCCTCTGACTCAGAACGATGAGAAACACTCTGACTCAGAAGGAGGGTTAGGAGGAGAGTCCTATGCTGAGATCATGGGATCAGAGGTTGAAGAAGGTAGTGACTTGAGGAGCAAGAAAGAGGTTGATTGGGATGAAGGTGAAAAAATGAATCTGTGGAAAAAAGGTCTTAATGGAATTGGAGCTATATGTTCATTTGGTGTTGCTGCTGCTGCTGCCACCATATGTGTCTTGTTCCTTGGACACAACAGTAGCATCCAAGGTGGTCGGAACAAGAACCAGATCCTCAGGTTCCAGATTTACTCTGATGATAATAAGGTAAAATTTTAAACTTAATTATGATTCTTGTTACAAGTCAAATAGTTAAGGAAAATTACTTTATTTATTATGATACTAAATACACTAATTTTGATAACTGATATATCTGATTAGTTCTACTAGTTTAGTTAGATGTGTGTGTAATCGCACATTTGACTGATGCCGTCTTATATTTAATCAGATAGCATCAATTTTAAATTTGGTTCCCTTTTTTTTTTTTGATTAACCAAAATTGGCTCCTAATGCACAAAAACATAGAAAAAGTTATTTGAGATTTTAATCTAACAGGGTAAATCAAGACAATTTAGCTATTAAGTTTGGTTTGCTTCGCTAATTGTTGTTAAAGTTAGATCTCAACTTATACATGTGTACCTGTTTGATTGATTAGAAGCTGATAATTAGAATAGTTGTTTGTGACTTTGAAACAACGAAAGTGATAAGGATGCGTTTGGCGGTGTGGCCTATTACGTGTCTAAGTGAACAATCAATAATTGTAGCGAAGATTCTTATTTTGTCTTTGTACGTTTTGTGTTTATCTTTTCTTGCGTCACCCTCACACTTTGAACCAAAACACGTTGATCTAATAACGTCATTGTTCCTTACATTTACTTACAAGTTATGTGCATATTAATAATAGCTAGAGCCTAGAGTTGTTTGGGACCGAGTTAGCCATTATAATTGATATATATATATATATATATATATATAGACTTATGATTCAAACTCTCGTTGATGTATGACTGGGTTTAAACTCATTATTGCAGCGAATGAACGAGGTAGTGAAACATGCAACAAAGCTAAATGAAGCAATCTCTGTGATGAAAGGTCTTCCGGTGGCAAGAGCTCAAATATCTTTTGGAGGATACTACGATGCACTTTGAAACATAGCCACCGTTTACAATAACTGAATCAGCACATCAGATCCAATGTCTTCTGCTTAATCACCAACGGGGCTCTATAGCTTATGTGTTTACGTATTTAGGATATTCAATAAATAATGTTTGTAAATTTCATATTCTTTGTCCGAATGTTTCAATGCACACTACTAAGCCTACATACTACATCAAGTTATAGCGGACGATGATATCACGAAGAAAACAAGATATAACCTAATATTTTTGCGTGAATAAAGTCTAAAATGAGGTATTTAATTAGGGTCCAAAATTTTCGAAAAAATATTACGGTTCATTAAAAAATTCATAGACGACTGACGAAATCTCATTTTTAAACGCAGATGCAAATTCGTATGACTTTCTCTCTCTTTTCTCTCTCATTTCTCTCTCAATCCTTCAGAGAGAGGAAGTCTTCTCCGACACTCAAACTTGGCTCCGGCAACGGCCAGCTTTTTCAGTGGTGTTGGTCGGCTTCCGTCTAGCGTCGTTGGCTTCCTTAGCAACGTCGGCTAGCTTTTCTCCGACATCGGTGGCTTGTTTAGCACCGTTGGTCAGCAAAATTCTAGCACCGATTGGCTTCTTCCGCAACGGTGGCTGGCAACGTCTCCATCGATTCGTCCTCTGGCGATTCGGATGGCTTTTGTACCGGCTTTTGTCCGGATTTGTTTTTCGTCTTTCGTTCTTTCGTTTCTCTTTAGTTTTGGTTACTTTGTGATTGATTGCTTTGACTCTATCCTTAGATCTGGGTGTGTATTTCTTTGCTCCTCTCTTGCTTAAAGGGCTTATTTCGTTCTTTGGTTTTTAATCAATTAAGAACGGATTGCAGTTGCGGAGCAAAGTCACGTTTAGTGCCTTTGGGTTTTTTGAAGTAATTAGGACTGAATTTATGGACCAATGCTTTGGATTCGATTGAATTTTTGTTCTTAGGTTTGATGAATGAAAGCCTATATTTGATGACCTACAAAAATTTCTTGAAGACTGAAAAGCACTTGATGAAGAAGAAGATGAAGAAGAATTTCAGATTGCATAAGTGGAGTCATATTCTCATCAAAGCTAAAAATGGGATTTCGCTTTGTTTCTTTGAGCGAAGATTGAGATATGTCGATTGAATTAAGTTTTCCGGCGATCTTGGCCGGAATTGAAGCTTTTCGACGTCACAACGATCTGCCAGTGATCGGAGACTCCCACATCTTCGTCTTCCCACGTGTCTGCTAACCTGTTACCCACTTGCCACGTGATCTATGTGATGTGTACAAGCTTTTCCTTCAGGGTTCTCTTATTGGGCTTTTGTTTTATTTTATTGGGTTTGTTTGTTTTAATGTTTGTAAAATATTGGTCTGTCACATTTGGCTTTGTGTAATTTGGCTTTGTGTAATAAATAAAACACACTTGTGATAAAAAAAAAAAAAAAAAACGCAGATGCAAATTTTTCTAATGAGGTCTTTTTTTAGTGTAAAACGTAACAAATCTTTTGACAACAACATGAGTTTTAAACATTGGTGACTACACTAATACAAATCACTAGACAAGATATTGTAGTCTTTTGAGTGAAACAATGAAACCAAACAGGCAAACACTAAGAGCATGATTAACGGCAACATCTTAGAGATATCTTAGTATTAAAGTTGATTAAATAAAATCAAACCAACATCTTAAAACTAAGATTTGTATCTAAGTTAAGATGTTTTTCTTAACTTAAGATGTTGCAAGGTGTCACATTGTGATTGGTTAAAAGTGATATGTTTTGATACGTATTGGTGATATGTTTTGATACGTATAAATTTTATACGTATAAATTTTATTTTTATATTGGTGATATGTTTTGATACGTATAAATTTTATTTTTAGATATGTTTTGTCAATTGGTGATATGTTTTAATACGTATAAATTTTATTGGTCAATTGGTGATATGTTTTGATACGTATAAATTTTATTTTTATATTAATATTTTTTTTCTACGTCTTCTCTGTTTGATAAAAGTGGTATGTTGATACGTATAAATTTTATTTTTATATTAATATTTTTTTTTTAAGAACCACATGTTAAGAACCTACCATTAATCACACAAAAATCTTAACCCAAAAATACTATCTCTTACCTATCACTTTTATAAATATATTACTTAAATATTCCTAAGATTTATTTCTAAGATACTACCAATAATCATGCACTTAAGAGACCAAGCCCAATAAAATATCTAAAGCCCATACTTTGACCCGCCAGTTAATTTTAACGGTCCTCCGCGAAAGTCGCCTCTCTTCTCTTCCACCACTTAACGTCAGTGGTCCGTTTAGACAGACAGACCTGTGACTGTTGTGAGTGGAAGAAGATAATGCAGACTCACCTCTTGGTGGGACCCATCCCACTCAAGGGTTGCCGTCGATTCTCATCCTCCTTCTCCGGCGATCTCCTCCCTCCATCTTCTAATCCTATCGGCCGTGACGTATTCTCTCACCGTCGAAGGCACCGCGACGGCAGATCCCGGAGTCACCGCAATCGCTCGAAAACGACGATTACTTGTGCGGCGTTTTCTTCGGGTTCTAATACCGGCGGGCAGAATCATTACGCTGTTTTGGGTGTCGCTCGCAACGCCACACAAGTTGACATCAAGAAAGCTTATCGCTTGCTAGCTCGAAAGGTAAAAGAACTAAAGAAATTGCTCGTTTAGTAAATTTCTCTAGTTTAGATTCGCATCGTTTGGTTTGATTGATTGCTGCGTTAAAGATGTGAAATTTGCGACCACTCTCAGAAGTAGTTAAGAAAACGACCACTTTCTTCTAGCAACATGATTTGGGTAATAGAAAAGTAAAAATCTTGTGTTTGTCTGAGTCATGACTCGGCATCTAGCTGCCTTTGCTTATGATCATAGCAAAAGTTAGCAACCTAGCTCTTGTACACTTGGATCCTTCATAATTAGCATGAATGTTTTCTTATTTTCAATCTAGCTCTTGTACACTTGGGTTATGTTTGTGACTGTATCCTTGGGTTGCTACTGCAGTTTCATCCTGATGTGAATAAGGACTCTAGAGCCGGAGAGCTATTCAAGAGTGTGCGTTGTTCCTACGAAGTCAGTATTCCTTCTAAACTGTCTTTGAGTGTTGTTGTTCTTGGAATTCAATGTAACATCAATCGATGGAATCTTATATCTCTTTACCTGTATTTCTTTTCAATAGGTACTATCTAATGAAGCTACAAGGACTCAGTACGACCGAGCACTTAAACATCAAGAAAATTCCCGGTTCCATAGAGTGAGAAGGCACAACTACACCCCTGAGGTTGAAGATGCCATGAAGTATTACTACAGCTGGTCTGAGAAAAGACACAGATCCAGACACGAGAGATTCTATGGACGCTATTCTACATATCCAAATTCACATTTCTATGCTGAGACTGAGCCGCAAGAAGAAGAAGAAGAAGTAGAAACAGCTCAAGACCACAGAGACTCCTTCGTCGAAGCTCTCAGATCCGCCTTCTTATCGATGTTTCTTCTATATACATTCGGTTGCCTAGCATCTCTCACATTTAGCACATTCACAGCTTTGCTTGACAAGGAACTCGACATGGGTTACAAAGTCGGATTCATGATCGCCTGGATACTAGGCGGAAAAGGCGGCATCCTTCTCACTCTCTGCCTAACATTTGCAAGCTGGCTCTGTGGGAAAGCAAGCAGCAGCGTGGTGGTTCTTGTGGTAGTGGCAATGTGGGTTGGCTCCAATTTAGCTAGACATGCTCCTCTTCCACAAGGTGCTCTCCTCACCCTCCTCTACATGTCAATCAAGCTTCAAGTTGACTCAACCTGAATCATCTCCTCTAAGTTTCACTACGTTTAGGTTGTAAATAGCTAGATTACATTGTTCTCTATTCCAATGGTAAGAAGTGTGTCCTATGATTTGGATCTTGGAGAAAATCGAAATAGTAGTAAAGAGAACAGATTGCTTGAAAGTTACAAACTCTAACTTTTTCCAAGATAACAAATCAATGAATCAAAGTTACAAAAATTCAGGAGTAAGATTAGAACAAATGAATATTAAACTCGTCTAACTATCATTATTATTGTTTCTGCACAAAGAAGAAACCAAAAAAAAAAAAAGATGAAATCTTTATGTATTCAACAAGCATCATCTTCATTGAGTTTTCTCTCTCATTTCCTTAAGATTCCTCCAAAGGTATCTTCCGCTAGCCATATCGACGAACACCCAAAACCCATTCTCCATCTTCTGTTATATCGCAATTCAACAATAAACAGAGAAATTAGAACAAATCACCAGAAATTAACGAAAAAGGAACGAGATTTATGGTTACCTTTTTGAGATTGAGTTCTTGTTTCTCATTCAATTCGTCCGGTGAATCGAATTCCGGCGAAGAACTCACCGTCTTCCATGCGAAATATCCGGCGAGTACAGCTGAGAAGAACACCAATAAGAACCTCATCGGACACATTTTTTTTTGGAATTTTGATCTCAATGTGATGAAGGATGAGAAGTTTTTAGGGTTCGTGAGATTCTGAGAAACGAAGAATTATGTGAGAAAGAGAGAAACAAAAAGGAAGAAATATAAAAGGGGTGAGATTGAGATTACATGTCTGCCTCTCTCGCACTACGAGAAAAAGGAAACGCGTTTCTGAATTTTTCAGCAATGGGGAAAATTGGAGGAATTGGTGTTTGGATATATACGTCAATTACATATATACCTACAATGTTTCCATTTTTTATAAATTAGCCCCAGTACTTTTAATGTTTCCAATAAAAACCCTAATATCTATGAGACTGTCTTGAGTTGAAAGAATTTTGTTTTTATGTTGAAAATTTGAAGGCAAATTTTGAATTTAAATAATTTGAATATGATTGTTATAAAGAGCAACTATTGATGAGAAAAACTCAAAAACATAATTTACGATACAATTATAAGATTTTTACCAAAGATTAAGAAAAAATAATTTGTTGTTTTATGTTGTGTTTTTGTGCTATAGCTTGGTTTTTTTTTATCGAAACAATGGTGTATTTGAGATAAAACAATTTAGAGGTGCGTTGAGGTAACCATGCAAAAGTAGGGGGTATTAGGGTATATATGAAATGTTTATGATTTTAATGGGTAAAAGAAAGCCAAAATAAGTAAATATAATATATGATCCTCTCTAGAAGAGGCTGACCTCAACTACCACCTTGTGTAGTTGTATTATTGTATCATATACGTATGATGAAGTTTTTTGTCAACGGGACGCAATTATAGAATTGAAATAGCTCTTCTAAAAAGGCTTCTTCTCTTTTGTACAATTTGAGCGACATTCTAGAAATTGTCAATGTCATACGGAAAAGAGTTAGTTGTTTGTCATATCGATTGTTATGATTATGTCGGTTTAATGCAAATTCTTGTTAGATCAAAAAAATGATTATTTGGTAGAACATCGGGTTCTTATAACTCAAAAGTCATGGAAGATTTGATGGGCAAACAACATTCTGTATATTTGAATAAGCAATTTCAACCATACATCGAAATTTTCAAGAGGTAGAGCTTCCACGAAACTAAACCATATTGCTTTGTGAATAATGAGTTATGTGAGTTTAGGAAATTATTTTTGTACCAAGGAAAAGGCAACAACTAAAAAAAAAAAAAAACTAATTTATGTGAGCGTTTAATTCATAATTAAATGGAGACTAGAGCTTAAAATTTAGGATTTAGGGTTTAGTGGATACTTATACATTTAAAGATAAAAAGCGTGGTGGTAACTGAATTAGGGTTTAAAGGAAACGGAGAACAAATTAGGGTTTAAGGAAAGTAAGACTATGGAGCGATCGGCCATGGACAAACAAGAAAAGAAGCGAATAACAAGACAATCTTCATCTATATTGACGACAACATCCTCACAAGGTAATAACAAATCTCAACCAGACCCGATTCCTCTCGACATAATCTTTGAGATACTCTCAAGACTTCCTGCGAAATCTATCGTGAGATATAGCTCCGTCTCTAAGCTTTGGTATTACATCACCACCACTCCAGAATTCATAAACTCGTACGCGTATCCGTGCTCGTGTATACTGCTAATCTTCCAAAAAGGCAACATGCTATTCGTTCCAAAATAATCGCAACGATCCTTTGTCTTACGTGGGAAGTTACCAGTTTACAAAATCGACCTATAGTTACCTCCAATGGTTTGATTACGTGCACAGCTTGATTTTATTGGAAGGTCCTAGAGTGGCGGACCCACTAAGGCAAGAGGTGGGTCAACTGACCCATGTTAAATATTCAAATTTAGTGTAATGCTTCAGAACAACTAAAGTACTTTTAGCAAAGTTGGTAGAATGTGATAGAACTGACACCCCTAAACCAGGGTTCGATACTTGAGTCTAACAGTTTTGGTTAATTTTTCGTTTTTAACATCTTTAATACGTTGTATTGATTGCTATTAATTTTTTACTATTCTTTTAAAAAATTCACAGCATCTATTGGAAATTGAATACCTTTTTCCTAATTAATTATAAAAATAATAAATAATGTTTTGATTTTCTAGTGTTTGTATAATATTTTAATATAATAAATTATATAATATAATTGAAAAAAAAAATTTGACCCCCCCTAAAAATAATTTCTGGGTCCGCCACTAGGTTTTGTGATTTGTAACCCAACCATGAAACGCTTTCTCACTTTACCTAAACTTGAAGGCAGCAAATACGCAAGAGCTTTTTTGGGATATGATCCCATTGATGGTATATACAAAGCACTATGCTTTCTTACAGGCTCCAAGATTGGCATTCTTACATTGGGAGCTCAAGAATCGTGGAGAATAGGATCCAGTGGTTTCCCTATGCATGACCATATAATAGATTATTGGCGATGTATAATGTATTAATGGAGTAATCTATTCTGAAGCCTATATTGATGTTGGTGTTGGTGTTGATCCTCACTGTAGAAAAGTTTGGCAAATCATAAACAGAACTTCTTCTTTTAGTTTTGAGAGTAGGACAACGAAAATAATTACAAAACATGAAGAAGAGAACCATGTTAATTGCTCCACAGTCCATCAAGATTAACTAACATCTATAAGAACCATATGAAATTCTGTTCTTGAAGATCACAAGTTGATTCTAAAGCATGCCATAATCACTAATGAGCTTTGATCTCAGATCTAAATTAAAATTTCAATTTTATTAAATAGCCGATGGATTATGGCAATCACGGTTTTTATTTTTTGTATTGTATGAGGGAAGAATAGCTTTGTTAAGTTCCATTGGCTCTGATGCTGAATTATGAACTTTGGAGGATGCAGAAAACCACAAACGGCCATATAAACACTTTTGTTAAGTATCTCATCCTCCTTAAAAAAAAATGGAAGTTGAAGGGTGTTAATTACCTCATCATCCTTACCTCAAACACCAAAGAGTTTTAAGTTTACTAAAATAGAAATCATGAAATATTAATTTGTATCATTACCATTTACTAAATTTCTGTTTGCCATTTTTTTCTTTTCAAGTTTACCTGATTTATTTCTAATTATTCATCTAGTGGACTATATATATGTATACATAGAAAACGCATGATAGTAGCAGTCGAAAGAACAAATAAGCGTTAATATAAAGAAAACGAAAGAACTAATTAGGTGAATTTAAAGAAAGCAAGATTGTGGAACGATCGGCCATGGACGAACAAGAAGAGAAAAAGCAGAGAACAAGACAATCTTCATCTACGTTGACGACAAGACAATCTTCATCTACGTTGACGACAAGACAATCTTCATCTACATTGACGACAAGACAATCTTCGTCTACATTGACAGGAAGACAATCCTCACATGGTAATCACAAATCTCAGTCAAACTCGATTCCTCTCGACATAACCTTTGAGATACTCTCAAGACTTCCTGCCAAATCAATCGTGAGATATCGCTCCGTCTCTAAGCTATGGTCGTTCATTACCACCACACCAGAGTTCATCAAGACTCGGTCCAAGAAGACATCACCACCGTGTGTTCTACTAATCTTCCGAAAACACGACAAGCTGATTGTGTTCTCGTCCCCGCAACACAAGAATACTTATTCTTATGTGGAAGATTATCACATTGAAATCCCCAAGAATGGTTTCATCCGTCGTCTTGATTCCGTTCACGGTTTGATTTGCTTTGAAGGTTCTAAACAGCTCGTGATTTGGAACCCTACTATGAAACGATTCTTCACTTTACCTGAGCCTCAAGGCACCGGAGACGAATACTACGTAGGAGGGTTTTTGGGATATGAACCGGTTGAGGGTAAATACAAAGCATTGTGCATTGTCAGAGGATGGAACACTCAAGTTCTTACATTGGGAGTTCAAGAATCATGGAGAGTAGTAACCAAAGGTGGCTTTGTCCATTGGCCTACTAAAGACACTGGACGATGCATTAATGGAGTAATCTACTATAAAGCTTTTGATATGGCTCCAAGGCATGTTATAATTGGCTTTGATCTCAGATATGAAGAGTTTAAACTGATTGAGTTTCCGATGCGTGATTATGACTGCTTTCTTATGGTATCTTATGAGGGAAGGTTGGCTTTGATAAGTTCCACTAGTTCTGTTGTTGAAATATGGAGTTTGGAGGATGCAGGGAATCGAAAATGGTCGTATGGACAGTTTCATTTAAGTCTTTCTCCTAACAAATATCTGAAGTGGTTGGATCTTAAGGGTGTTACTGATGGTGGTGAGCTCATTTATACAGGAATGAGTTTGAATGAATCGTTCTGTGTTGTGTATTTTGACCCGAAGAAAAACAGTATAAGAGAAACTAAGTTTCGAGGAATCACGGGTAACGAGATTTGGCAACCTGATAGACTTGGATTTGATCTTGTGAATGACTTTTATGTTTTACCAAATCACATTGAGAGTTTCATTTCATTTTAAGAGCTTGCATGAGTGTTCTTTAGATCCTTTTTGTAACCACTGATTGATTGATCCCATTGGAGATCCCAATATGTTTTAATCTGGATACTTTATAAACAAGCTATGGTTGGTACGTAATAGAAGAAAACTATACATAGAGTGATAGAGAGACTGTAATATGTGTTTAAGATTGAACCTAAGATTCTTCTGTTCTATGTCTAGCAATTTTCATGTGATCCTTTTCTCAAAAATAGAAAAGAGATTTCTTGTCCTAAAGTTAAACAAGGACAGAAGAAATACTTGAAATCTTCATAAGAAGATTAGAGCTTAGAGAATACGAAGATTAGCCTTATGGATCTCTGTAAAAGACCAAGAGAGTGGTTTTATTATGGTACCTTATGAGAAAAAATTAGCCATAATAGCCACAAATTCCTTGATATTGGAGGACTTGGCTAAAATTTTGGGACTATTAGTCTATTACTAATGCTAGTGAATTTATTTCGTGCCATGAACTTTGATACCATGAGCAGTTTTAAGAGCCTTCAGTTCAATAACATTTGGTAATGAATGTAACAACATATGTGACATGTCCCTTATATATTAGTGTTATAACACAATCTAGTTTACTCTCAATTTGGATGTGATAGACCAATTATAATCATAACAACTGATTTTGAGAAAAGGGCTTTGTTTTGTTTTCCATGCATCGAATGAACCATAGCTAATTATATGCAAGTTTATGATTCTCAGATAGATTCTTCTTGTAATCCTTATCCATTTCCATTGAAGGGCTTTGTCATAATTTGATCATTCTTTAGTTTGAATATATCTCAAGTCCTAATTAACATGCATGTCTTATAAACAATGTGGGCTCTTCTGCTCTGAAGACTATTACCTACATTTATGCTAGCTACTCAATCTCTTAGAAGTTATGGCAATTAAATTTTAGCTGATGATATGGAGAACATTCATAAGCGAGCTCAAGATTCTACGATACGTGTATAAAAGATGAAGCCTAAGCTATATTAGGCTGCTGCATAGGTCAAGACACATGCCTTCTCTTTAACTGTGGGGCTCTTTTTGTTTCCTTCTCTTTCAAAACCTTTGTCTCCTACAGTGACTTCACCACCAATCCAACACCAACACTGACAAACACAATTGAAAGACCAAATTCGTATCACAGAAAGATAAGACTGAAGAATCAAAAGCTTCAATAGCATTAGCCTCCAGAAGAAATAAAAACAGTCGTGGTACTTGTTGTATCCTAGAAGCAAAATGTAATTGATTAAACTATTCATTGTTACAAACTTTAACCAAAAGTTTAATTATATTTTGAATCCGTACATATGTGTGTTGGACTTGGACCCTTATTAATTGGGAAAACAAAAGCAACATAGTGGATAAGATTGTTTACAAGTCAACATACACCAATTTAGAAAAATCAAAAGAAATTCCGATTTGATGCGACCATGACAATGCAACCATATCTCTCCAAATCAAAAGATTATATATGTGTCACATTCTCCACTAATTTCACTTATGATCTAGCCTGAGATGCCATATAATATCACATGTAACGTTTATGAGAATGTTCTTATTCGGCTAGATTATTTTCTGACAATACATAGCACAATGTTTAGTTTTCCCAAATTATTTATTATATTATTGGAGAATTTACCAATGACATATGTCGACATATCCAACTTGAAACATGAACTAAAACATCCAAAAAATTTAGTCTAGTTGATCCCAAATTTTAGGTAAGTTACAAATAAAACTGAAGTATCTTTTCGTCAAATTATACAACTAAACTCAAAAGTATATGTTGTTCTAGAAATTAAACAGAAGAGAGTTAGACAGTTAGTAGGTAAAGGAAAAAATCTACTGAGTAATTAGTATGTTTGTCTTAATTTATCAAAACTATAGTCTTAATCATGATTATTGTGTCTTGTCTTTTTTTTTTTTAAATTACTTAATCAGCTCCACCTTAATGAGCTGGACCTCCACTGAATCTTACCCAAACATCGATCACGTGCCTGTGTATAAATAAATACACACACTTAACAAGTTACAATCACACTGACACCAATCGTCTTCTTTAACAGTCGTTTTATTACAGCGTTCTGATCAAAGCCCAGAGAAAGTTAAAAGTACACAGAGAGAAAGAAGAAGAAGAAGAAGAAGAAAGAAGCCATGAATGCTTTAGCAGCAACAAACAGAAACTTCAAGTTAGCTGCTAGGCTTCTTGGTTTGGATTCTAAGCTCGAGAAAAGTCTTCTCATCCCCTTCCGAGAAATCAAGGTTCGCATATTTCACTTCTTTATTCAACTAATTAACCTTGATCAGCTGATTTCGTGCTTTCGCCGGCGCCGGAGATGATTCGTCACGGCGGATTTTAGTGAAATATGATTTCTGAATGTTTCGGGGCATTTGAAAACCCGACCCGCTAATTCCGGATCCAATTACTCTGATCCTGTTACTGAATAATATAACCGGAACGAACCAATTTAAATCAACCGGTTATGTAATTTTTGTAGGTGGAATGTACCATACCGAAAGACGATGGAACACTAGCATCATTCGTTGGGTTTAGAGTTCAACACGACAATGCAAGAGGTCCCATGAAAGGTGGAATCAGATATCATCCCGAGGTTTTTGACTTTGACTTTTTAACCACAATCAAAATGTCACAAACCAGTATACAATTTCGGTTTTGGTATGATGCAAACCGGTTATTGGTTATCATTTCCTTGTAGGTTGATCCGGATGAAGTGAACGCATTGGCTCAGCTCATGACATGGAAAACAGCAGTGGCTAAGATTCCTTACGGAGGAGCCAAAGGTGGGATTGGTTGTGATCCGAGTAAGCTCAGTATATCCGAGCTCGAGCGGTTGACTCGAGTTTTCACTCAGAAGATTCATGATCTCATTGGGATTCAGACTGATGTTCCAGCTCCAGATATGGGCACTGGTCCTCAGGTCTCTTCAAAACGTTTCCATATCTGTTTTTGTTTTTTGTTTTTTGTTTTTGGGGTCATCTTTCAACTTTTTTACTTGGTGGAATTTGTAGACAATGGCTTGGATTCTTGATGAGTACTCTAAGTTCCATGGATATTCGCCTGCAGTTGTGACTGGAAAACCCATTGTAAGTAACGGTAATAACGGTTTCGTTTTGCTAATCACTGGTTTAACCACCTGAATGTTTAATGATGTTTATGAACCAGGATCTTGGTGGATCTCTAGGGAGAGACGCGGCTACTGGAAGAGGAGTGATGTTTGGAACCGAAGCTTTGCTTAACGAGCACGGCAAGAGCATATCGGGGCAGCGTTTTGTCATCCAGGTTACCTTTCTTTATTGCGGTTTCTTGAGAGCCAAAGAAACTTTTCTTAATCTGGTTTTTACATATTGGTTCATTAGGGATTTGGGAATGTGGGTTCTTGGGCGGCAAAGCTGATAAGTGAAAAGGGTGGGAAGATTGTTGCAGTGAGTGACATTACCGGAGCAATCAAGAACAAGGACGGTCTCGATATCCCGGCCTTGCTTAAGCATACTAAACAACACAGAGGTGTCAAAGGGTTTGACGGTGCAGATTCGATCGATCCAAACTCCATACTGGTCGAGGATTGCGATATCCTCGTCCCTGCAGCACTTGGCGGTGTCATCAACAGGTTCAAGCTTTTTTGGTACAAAAACTTACATAGTGTTTTGAAACTTTTGTAAAACAGTTAGTTGGGTTTTGGTTTGAAGGGAAAATGCCAATGAGATTAAAGCAAAGTTCATCATAGAAGCTGCTAATCATCCAACTGATCCGGACGCGGATGAGGTTTGATTTCTTCTTCTTTTACTCCGGAAATTCTCATAGTGAATCTGTAATGGAGACTCTTGTATTACAGATCTTGAGTAAGAAAGGTGTGGTAATTCTCCCAGACATATATGCAAACTCTGGAGGAGTCACTGTCAGTTACTTCGAGTGGGTTCAGGTATGAGTCTCTCAACCACTTACTTTGGACAAACCAAGTACCCGAATCAAATCGATTTTGATCAGATTAGTTGTTTCCGGTGATGTGCAGAACATTCAAGGGTTTATGTGGGAGGAAGAGAAGGTGAACGAGGAGCTAAAGACTTACATGACTCGCTCTTTCAAGGACTTAAAAGAGATGTGCAAAACTCACTCCTGCGATCTCCGGATGGGAGCTTTCACACTCGGTGTTAATCGTGTTGCTCAGGCTACCATTCTCAGGGGATGGGGAGCTTAAGATTATCTAATCTTATCTAATCTCTATGGAGCTCCTGAATAAAACGAGCCAACCTTTAATGCACTTTTTGTTTTCTCCTCTACTTTGGCTTAGAGGTCCTCCTGAGTCAGTTAACAGATCTTCTGTATGTAATAAAACCTTGGACTCTATAGTTGATGATGAACTTTTTTACTCTCTGGTTAAAACCAAGGTATCAGAAAACTAGAAGCTAGAAAACAATTATCATCATTATGGTTTTTAAAAAAGCATTTTAAAGATAAAAGCTTAAGGCTATAGAATATGAATCTAGGCTCTCCCTCGGCCTCTAAAGCCTCCACGAGGACCACCTCTTTGATGAAACCCTCTGCTAACACCTCTGGGAGCACCTCTACCTCTGAAATTGCCTCTACCACGGGGAGGCCCTCTACCACGGGGAGGGACTCTTCCTCCACCACGGCCTGCTGATTGCCCCCTGCAAGAAGAACAGAACAAGACTGTCGTTATAGACTTTTTCTAACACTTCAACAAGTTTGTTCTACTACTTCAAGGGACCTAAGAATTGGTAACTCAACAAGGATAAAAAGATCAGAAAGAAGTGATCTTGGGTTAAGAAGTGTAGCTTACTTTGGTTGAGGAAGGAATCTTGATAGAGGTAAAAGCTTCTCAGGGCTAATGAAGAACTTATCGCCTTGAGTATACGAGGTTGCTACAATACCTTCCCTCATTTTGATAGAAAACAGCTGAAAAAGTAAGAACCAATGCTTTCGATATTAGTGAGCAGGCCAGTGATCGAAGAAGACAACAGAGACAGAGAGAAAGATAACACATACAGATTCGTTAATCGGACCAAAGATTTCATCTACTCTCCCAATCTGGGTCTTGTTTTGTAGGTAGATTGGGGCATTGAAATGTGGGATTTTCACATTGGAGAGCTTGAACACAGCATCTCCCTCACATGCATGGAGAAAGGTTGCAACTTCTGTATAACCAAAGAAAGAAACTTTATCATAATGGAGACAATTCACAAGTTTGTTCCTTTTAGTTAAATTTAAAACTGTCATAAAACTCAACTTTAAAGATGAATCTAACAAAATCCTAATAACAGGAACACAATTCATCAATGGGAATACCCAAATATTTTTTTTTTTGGGTCAAATTTCAGTAACAGATGCTCATCAATGTCAAAGCTGAGAACTTTGTCAATAAAATCATCTGCTTGATTGGTAAAAGAAGAACAAACCAAGAATAAGAATCGTCAAAGAGGATTAGAAAACGAACCAACGACTTCGCTGGGAGGTCCTTCGTCGTAATTACCACCACCAAAGCGTCCACCGCCACCAAAACGTCCACGTCCACCGCCACCAAATCCACGTCCGCCGCCATCTCTTCCTCCCCTTCCCCTGAAACTCCCGCCGCCACGTGGTGGTCTCATCTTTTTGGTTTTATTAGTTCTTTACTGCGCTCTGCTCCTCAGAGGTTTTTACTTTTTAGGGTTTTAGCGAGGGAAGCAATTGCAGTGTAGAAGATGTAGTGACTTGCTTTTAAAACAAAAGGAAGAAAAAGGTTAACCACTAGGGTTTTCAGAAATCGCAGACCGGGTTTCGACTCATTAAACCGGAAAACTTAACGTGCAGAGAAATTAATTATTTATGCTTATCTGTTTATGTTTGGTTTGGCTTGCTCACATTTCATTATTAGACACTTCAAAGAAAAAGACAACTTTAGAGACGCATCAAACAACACAAATGATAACCAAAAAAAAAGCACACTTGAAGGCTTAAAAAGCCCTCAAAACTTTCTATTACTAATCCAAATTCTCTGTTACCATCATTTCTATCTTTTCATACTTCTACATACATACGAAGACGCATCCATTTCATTACATTTAACAAACAGGTTGCGTCTGGTTTTCACCTTTTTTATCGTATTATGATCCTTATCCTCCAATTGTCTTTTTGGCTTTGTAACAGCACATATGATGCTAAGTACCTCAGCAAACTGTCCTCCCAAAGCATATTGATGCAATGTACAGATTTTTAGCCCATTTCTCCTGTAAAATCAACCAACACCGCGCAGGTCCTAATCAGTATTATGGAAACAAACCAAAATTTCCAATCTTTGTTCAAAACTAAAGAAACCCACCTTGACATGAGTGCTTGGAAAGGCGGTGGTGCGAAGAGTCTCTTGAGTTTCATCCATCATTTTACGTTTTGGTACGCTTAATATGAAAGCTGCTTGATCTGCAGTTGCTGCCATTGATGTTATCCTATACCCACTTTCCCACCTCCTATGTATTCCATCGCTTGGGTACAAAAAGTCGAGCTCCACAACCTTTTCACACAAATAAAAAACAAGAGTATCAGGAAAAATGCCAAAATGTTTAAAGATTTTGTCATTCTAAGGTGACGAGATGGAAACCAACCTGATCAGAGAAGCCAGAATTCCTCGACATTACCACACCCCAACGATTCCCAGCAGTTGTCATGGAGGTCACATGAAAATCTTCTTTCCATTTCTTATTTATCCACTTGTAAGGAAATGAGTCGCTGACTTTGTAAGATTGCTGAGTATAAGACGTTCCTACCAATTTACAGCAAGAAGAAATTAGTAAAAAAGACTTCATGTTATAAGGTTATTATATACTCAAGTGTGACATAAATATTTGCAGATTACTACCATTAACACCAACCTTTTGACATAACAACTAATGAGCTCCCGTTATCTGCACCAGCTATGGAACTGATATAGTAGTTCTTTTCCCATTGTTCCATAATCCAGTCCTGCCAAAAAAAAAAAAACAAATGGTGAGTTACTACAAAATTGATTGATTCCTAAATTCTTCAAGTGATTATTACCTTGTGAAGGAAGACCGCTGACAATTCATAAACTTGAGAGTTGAATCCAGTCCCGGCATCCATTATGAGGGCCCAGAGATTAGCTGCTGATGCTACACAGCTAATTAAAAGGCCATCTTCATTACCCTTCTGTACATGCTGGTGCAGCCTTGAGTCTGCAACGTTGTAGTGATATCTACACAAAGAAAAATGACACTAAAACGTGGTGAGAAATTTGATTACTGGAGGTTTTAGAAACTCTTAAGAGTATATGAAATTTCTTTACCTCTGTTTCATGGGACGACGAGCATTATAGACTGAGATCCACTGACAAGCAGGACTGCCAATTCTGATTTTCTTCTTTGGCTGTTCATCCTCTTCCACATTAAGAAGCAATCTTCCTCGTTTTTGCCCAACCTATATACCAAAAGAAGCAAAATCAGCATTTTCAGAATTATTTATAACAAGATGAATAATTAAGAACGAGACAATCGCCACCAACCTTAAGAGCCCCATCAATTCTAATTGGTCTAGATAGTGCACACGGTTCAATAAGAGAATCAAAAATCGAAATAAGCTTTGCATAGTTGGGATCTTCGTCAAACTTCATATTAGTAACTGCCTCGAGGAATAACTTAAATGGGGGTGGACAAAAACAGCACATCAATTCAGGAGAAGTTGACATCTTTTTCTTGCAAACAAGAAAGCTCTTGTTGTCACCCTGCAAAAAAAGTCAACAATATATACATAAAATTGACTGCAATTAATGTAGAATATGAATCAGATATAATTGTAAGGTTGTCAAGAGAAATAAAAAACAGACCTGATATCCTTGCCATGGCAATCTTCCCTTCAAGAGAAAAACTAAAGTATAAGCCAACGACTCCAGATCATCTCTCCTACTTCCAGTTCGACCTAGATGCGCATGAACACTTGCATACCTTATCGTTCCCCTGCATTTGAAACATAATAAACATGTAAACAAATATCAATAATATAAAGTAAAAACACATAAACTAACAAATATACCTGAACACATCAGGTCTTTGATCATATTCAACATGCAGGCCTGACTCTTTCCATTTTGATGCTGAAACAAAAGAAAATTATGTGAACAGTAATGTCAACATCAAATAGGAGTACCAATTTACATATATCATAAAACGTCGTAGCATCATAAGAGAAAAAACCAGTACATATTGTTTAAAGTTCTTCATAAGAATATACTCACCCAGACCAAGATCGATAAGGTAGAGTTTTTTCTCATCTGCTGTTCCCGGTTGACCGAGTAAAAAGTTTTCCGGCTTCACATCTCCGTGGACAAACCTAGTTTGATATGGGGATGGAACATAGCATGACAATCAGATCAATGAAAGACAATACATTGTAATTAGTTTCAGCGAAATGAATGAAATGATTTGTTGCAAAGAAGTTACAAAGAAAATATAATAACTAACCCTTTCAAATGAAGTTTCTCAAGAATAGATATGGACTCAACTGCAATGCAGGCTACCATGTTTGGAGACATCCTGCCACATGACACGAACATGAATTAAATGAAGAATCTTGCAAACAGAAGGAAGTGTGGTGAAAGGAGAAGAGTGCTTACGATTGCCCCGAAGAATTCCAAACATCCCAGAGACTTGGACCAAGCATGTCCATGACCTGAAATATATATTATAACATTACTCAATACATGATAACACAATCAATATCGAAGTTTATTTAACAACACTCATTGTAAATTACATACGAGAATGTAAAAATCTCCTTGACGACCCTTATGATGTACAGCAGGAACTCCATAGCAACCATTGAGAGTACTTTACAACAAGAGGAAAAAGAAACTAGTGAGATGACAAATAAGTTGATCAGAGAAACTTGGCAGGAAAATTCAGATAAATGCAAGCAAGTCTTACTTGTACACTTGCCACTCGTAAGGTGGACCAAAATTGCAGCCTTTGCTATTTCGATGTTCAAATTTCAGGGCCACCTGAAAAGAAAAACAATAAACTTTTTAACGATTAGACATCTTTAGTCTGTATCCCTCATAAATCTTTTGTATGCTTCTGTACAACATACCTCAATTGCATCGGCACCAATCCTATCGCTGCCACCACTCACCCTTCTACCAACAAAAACTTGACCAAAGCCTCCTTTACCGAGTTTCCTCTCAGTCTTATATACAGGAGAATTTCCAACTTGTACCTATACACGTAAAATGAAATCAAAATCAACATCTCTCTCAAATGAAAAGACCTGGTTATTGAATGTCATTAACATAAATTTTACCCTTTCAGGGACTGGAGCTGTGCTAGAATCTTCTTCCACACCAACTATCTTCTCTGCGCTACCACCTTCCATAGCAATATCCTTCTCAGCTACCCCTGCAACTTGATTTAAAGCAGGTTCACCTACTGCTGGACGAACCTCACAAGGTTCTGCCTCTAAATCTATTAACCTGATGCCTCGACCCCTACCGGCACCACCAGTGGGTCTTGGAGGTGCAGCACCTTTAGCAGCAGCGTTTCCCCTTCCTCTACCACCACCGCCTCTTCTCCTTGTTACAGGCTGAGGAGGAAGTTCAATATTATCCGCCTGACCAGTTACCTGAGGGCTAGGTTGTCTCAATCTACGTGCTCCACTTCTTAACTCTGGCATTCTTACTCCATACAAAGAGTAAGAAAGTATTTTGCTTTCGGTAAACCTCTTTAACTAACCTGCAGTATAAAGAGAGGTAGCACAGAGTAAGTATTTAGTTAGTTGATAAAAAAGGTGAACGGGACCAATTTCATTGGCATTTCCTTCACAATCCAAAAGAGAAGACACCAATCCATTGTGATAGCAAGTAAAAATACAATCAAACAGAATACAAGAAACATCGGCTTGCACTTAGAGCATTGTCTTTCCATCAAAATCACTTAATAGTCATCCTTATACAGAAGGACTTTCCAATCAAACAGATAAACAATCGAAATCACAAGCATCTGCAACCAAATGCACACCAACTTTGGTTCAAGAGTATTAAAATCATCGTTACTGACAAGGAAACGCCATCGAAGGCTCTTCGACGATGATGATGACCAATACATCAAAAGAATCTATAAAGAAAAACAATTCACTACTCAAAATATATCAATCAAAAACCAACAATACAGATTCAAAAGAATCAGTGTAACCAAGCGACAGTTTGATACAACAAAAAAATGTTCGATCATCATCGAAAAACAAGATCTTTCCCGAAAATCATTAGAAACATATATGAAACATCAAAATACAACAACCACCACAGAATCAAAAACGAGATGTCAAAAACATTTTACCAGATGAACGATTTAGGATTAACCCTTAAAAAGGAACGATGATCGGACTATGATAACGATAAAATCGATCCGAAAAATTGAAACTTTCAGATCTCCATGGAAATTTCAAAACAAGAAACCGACGGCTTTCTCCAACTACGGCGATTTAAATGTGAGAACTTTCTAGCTGTGAAGCACACCTAGAGATGGAGATAGAGAGAGAGAAAGCTTCAGGTCGTTTTAGGGTTATAAATAATGAAGATTCAAGGAGATGAAGAAGATGAGAGGAGGTGCAGATTTGGGGAAGAATTTTTTTTTTTTTCGGTCCAATTTTTTTTCTTTTTCTTGGATGGATTGATCAACTTTAGAAGAATTTCTGGCAAATATTTGGTAGATTTTTTTATTTTATTTCATTGCTTTTAATTTTTGAAAGTAAAAAGCTTGTGTACTTCTCCAATGGTAATGGTCTTATTAATATTGCTGCTTGCTTCGTTTTGCTCGCATGATTTTAAATTTATTAATAAAAGATTTTAAATTTATTAATATACTAATTTAATACGTTTAATATACAGTATATTCGTACGTGTGAGGGATTATGATGTAATAACCACACTAGATCAGGACCCGCACGTACGTGCGGGGTTTTTGTACCTGCAGATTTTCTAGTATAAAATTTATGACATGTAGGTTTCGAATGTGTGTATCAGTTTGAATTTGTTATGACTATTTAAAATAGATTTATGTAACAAATTACCGGATTGAATATATTAGTACTGGGAACTGATCAAATCGTTCGAGACATATGTATTCCGGTATATTTTGTATAAAAATAGTTGGGTATTACAAAACATTACCTTGTTAAATTAAATTTTTTTTGTAACATAATTTCTGTGTTTAGTAATTAGTATAGTAAGAAAAAATATCAAATCTATACTATTAATTTTTTTATATTGATACAACTCTATACTATTAATTTATAATGATTAATATCAATTTTACACTAACATGGTCACATTTTGTCTTTTTTCTTGGTCCAAATTCAATATATTTGTCATAATGGGCAGAATATCTTGCGGGGCTAGTTTATATAATGAGTACAACACTTAATGGGCCATATACATTAATCATAAATATTTGTGTTGGGCCGTAAAACACACAAATATTGGTCCTGACATTATTTCATATTATGTTTTTTTTTTTATCTGGAAAGATACTCCTTTTTGTTCTTTGTCTGAAACCTTCGACAATTTTCCAATCTGAGAAAATAATCTTTGTCGGCAGATCGACGAAGCTGTATCGAAATCCATCCGAAATCCACTTCCATCGTCTTCGCTTATACCTCAATTCTTTGCAAATTATAAGATCTTAAAAGAGGTAAGCTTTTCTTCTCTTTGATTTTTGTTCTATACTTTTTTGGAATCTGTCGATTGGGTTTCTACCATAGATTTTTTCTTGTTTCATTATAGATCTTATACAACGATTGTGAATAACCCACAAAAATTTGATTAATTATTACGTTTTTCATATCTAATTGCATGCAATTTTTTTACATGTTTCGTTTTGTTTAAACATGTTAGTTAGTCAATCAATATGTTTCTTCTCAAAATTCATAGTGTTAATAGACTAAATCTAATCAATTTCAGTATATCTTTTAAGCTGTAAATCTATAATCTTTTTTTGTTTTTATAATTGTTTCAGATTAGTAGCCATATTTCGATGGTTTCTCAAAAGAAGAAGAAGAACGAAGATAAGTTTTTTTTATCCAGATTATTGTATAACTTGAGCACTTTATTGCAAAATGCTCCTGCTTCATTATTCTTTAGCTGAATGTTAGATTCATGATACAAAGTTCAATGTTTGCAGGCGAAGTACAATTTTGCGCACATAATTCTTATGGAGCTGAAGCAGTAACAGTTCAATTTGGAGCATTCTTGAAATATAATTTGGTAGAATCCGTTTAATTTTAAACGGCAATGTTTCTTAGTCTTTAGAATGATTTATATGGTTGTACTAATGAAACTTTGATAACTGTTAAAAATCTGCAGACAAATGATCGGTTTGAAGTTGGATTCTTAAGGAGGGAAGAGATTTGGTGTTGTAATTGGAGGTTTTCAGAGATCTATATTTAAAAGGTTAGTAAGATATTAAACATAACACTTTTGATTAGGTGATAACAATATAGACCTACTCTATTGATTTCCAAATTTGGTTGAATAAGTGTAGATAAAATAGTTACAAATTAATTATGTCAGAAATTTTAAACAGTAATTTCGTTTCTTGTGATGCTGTTGGAGCTTTATTCTGCATTTGTTTGTTAATAGAAGTAGTAAGTTGTGAGATTTTCTATATTATAATTGATCAGACTGTTTGGTTAGCAGTAATAACCATTATTACTTATAAATAGGAAATAGTTAACTTCATATTACTGAATATGAAGATATTAGGACAGAAAACTTTTGAAAAACAAAGTTAAGCTGTTATAAGCTAGATATGTCTTCGAATTCATGTAAAAAGAAAACATGAAAATAACAGAAACAGTAGGGTTAGGTATCAGTTCTTCTCTTGAAACTTCAATCACTGATTCCTTTATTTGCCAAACACACGTTTTCATACCTTGTTTGACCTGCTCAGACATAAAGAAATAAGAAACTCGTATAGTATAACAGATATATATCAGAATCATTTCATATTGGTTCTTACCTCTGTGAACAAATGTCTCTTCCAACGCTTAGTCTTATAGGTTCTGGAAAACTTCCTTAAACACCACATTCATCGTTTCCTTCTGCGGTTTGCCTTCTTTATCCACTATTAGGATCTTCAGTCCTTTCTTTGAAGTTACCCTTGAGATAGCCACATATAGTTGGCCATGTGAAAAGCATGGCCTGGGAAGATAGATGCCAACATGATTCAGAGATTGCCCCTGACTTTTATTAATGGTCATAGCAAAAGCCACTGCTATTGGAAGTTGTCTTCTTCGCATTTTAAAAGGAAGTTTACTGTCGGATGGAGTTATCAATATCCTGGGAAGGATCACTTTATCTCCAACTCTATCACCTGTAATAATGACTGCCTCAATAAGTTTGTCAGCCATTTGTGTTATTTGCAGCCTGGTGCCATTCATTAATCCTCCTCTTGCATCTAGGTTTCTTAGTAACATCACAGGACAACCAACTTTCAACCTTATACCATGATTTGGCAATCCAGATACCTTTAGATTGTTCAAAAACTCTGATGTTATAACTGGATTATTCTTACCTCCAATGTCAGAAGGATCTACAGAATCAGAACTTAGGTATATTTGTTCCTCACCTACACAAAATATAACATTGACTTTAACAACATATAAATATTACAAAAGCTCAATAACATGGTTAGTATTGGATACTAACCTTCCATTTGATCAAGCATATAATCGTTGATCATACCAACATCTTCATTTGTGGGGCATAAAATCGCCCTCTGTTGAAAGAAGACTGGATCGTTTTTGTCCTTCAATAACTTAGGATCTCCATAAACTTCCCTGCTTATTGTCTCAATTGGATTATCAGCATCTTTGATTATAAACTCATCAGGAATTTCTATCATCACTTCTCCATCGTTAGGCTGTGTTATCTTACCATCACCAACTGCTAGAATCCACTCTGAAAATTCCTTGAGATCCTTCGCCTCACTGGGACTCAAATCTTTTGAAAGAAGCCGCATATTTTTGGTGAGCTTCAAAACTTTACAATGATTCCAAAGATATGAAGCATTAAGGGCAGCCATACATATTTCTGCCCTTCCCGCACCATGTATCACAGGTAATACTTGTCTGAAATCACCACCAAAAACTACTACTTTGCCACCAAAAGGTTTTTTTCCACCACCTTTAATAATATCAGAAAAACTCCTATCCATAGATTCAAAACAATGCTTACTCATCATTGGAGCTTCATCCCAAATTATTAAAGACGCTTCTTCTATTAATTCTGCCTGATTTGAACCACGTTCAATATTACAAACAGTGAAGTCGTCAGGATTAATTGGAATACCAAACCGAGAATGCGCTGTCCTCCCACCAGCTAGCAATAGAGAAGCAATACCACTGGAAGCAACATTGAGCACAATTGAACCTCTAGATCTTAGAGAAGCTGAAAGTGTCTTATATATAAAAGTTTTCCCAGTTCCACCAAAGCCATAGACAAAAAAGACACCTCCCTTGTCATTATCAACAGCATCGATGATCTCTGAATAAACACTCTTCTGCTCATCCGTCATTTTCTGCAATGATTCTTCAAGTATTTCCTTCTGTTCATTCCGATCATAGTTTTTTTCGTCAAGTATCAAGACGTTACTATCATCAATTTCCTCATCAGGTAACTGAGCCATCGTTTTGAAAGCTGATAGAGATGTTCCATTGCTTCTTAATATACTGTTGATTTCTTTTAATGCCAAAATCTGCTTCTGCTCGTCCGTTAGTGTGAGTTCTGCGTTTAAAAAAGAAAAAAACCGGTCATAAGGAAGGCATAATAATCATTTCATATCTTTTCTCCATTTTGTAAATAACAACTGTTTGAATAAACAATAGGTAGATTTCGAAATCATTCATACCTGGTCTGTTAAAGTACTCTCTCCTTTTTCTTTCGATATCTTCTGTTAGATATTCCCATGTTTTTTCCCAAACTACTTCTGGTTGAGATAAGGTGGTAGACTGGAGCATACAAACAAACATACAACGCAAGTAATTTCCGGTAGCCCAAAAACTGGTTCTTATTATGTCATCAATATACTCCTGGTCATCGTCTAACAAACCCAAAGCATAACATGCCTCTTTGAAAGATTCGTACAGTACACCATTAACTGTCTTTAGATCTTCAAAACTTTCAGGTCCTGTTTGTGTATTAAGAAGCACTCTTAGATAATAACCTTCTTCGTAAAAAAGTGGGACATAATTTATCCTTCCAAGTGTCTTCCCTGGTCGCTTCCTCATATTGAAATGTCTTGTTTTACCATCCCACGTGTAAAATTGCGGAATCTGAGTATACGTGAGACCTTTGGCTTTAGGACATCTTTTATTCAATTCAAACCAAGCAAGGAACATCGAATTCTGTAATTCTGATCTTTCCAAAACTGTTTCTACCTCATCATCACCTTTAAAATACAGTAGTTGTTTTCCTGG